TCCACCGCCAGGAGCTGGTGCTCCACCGCCGCCACCGCCGCCTCCTGGAGCTGGTGCGCCTCCCCCGCCTCCTCCAGGTGGAGCTGCTCCGCCCTTGCCCAAAGCCGAAGGTGGTAGGAATGACCTCATGGCTGCCATCCGGGCATCTGGAGGAAAGGGCGGCGGTGGCCTGCGGAGGGTCAAGGATACAGAGAAGCGTGACCGGAGTGCAGCCCTTGTACCTGGCTCAGCCAGCGAATCGTCTGCGCCGACCCCAAGTGGTGGTGCTGCTCAAGGAGGCCTGGCAGGTGCTTTGCAAGATGCTCTGGCGAAGAGAAAGCAGAAGGTCAGCGGTAGCGGTAAGTAGACACCCCCTGATGGCCAGTGATACGCGTACTAATGTGGACTATAGATGACGAGAAGGAGGACGATGACGATTGGTGAGCCATGCTTGAGGGCACTTTATCATTTTTCCTAAAACTCGTATTGTTGCCGTGGCTTAGACATGTTGGATTTTGTGTGATACCTCCGTCGTGCAGCCTCAATATTCTTTCCTGTTCTTAGCATATATTCCCATCCGGTGCGTGGAGGTGAATGTCTGGTTTTCCTTTCTAGTCAGCATTTCCTGCAGGTGATCAAAAGTATGCACTGGAGATTGGAGCTGTCTGACAGCGGGTCCATTCCCTAGTCTCAAGAATGAAACAATGCTTGTGCATTTGGGAACATAGATCTCAGGCGCTAGTAGATCACTATTACAAGATGAGTTTTTCTCATAAACGTAGATATCTCCTAGCATTGTCCGTCCTATCAGCAGTGGGACAATAAGAGGCGATCAACATCCCAGCATTCACCACACACTCATTCTCATAGCTCTAGACTACAACCGGGACCGCTTGGTCTGGTACCTTGCTAATGCAATGCTTGGTGGGGCATCCCTGCGGCTCAAAGCGAGCAACCAATGGTTCCAGCTTTTGGCATTTCCGATCTGGTGCTAAAGTGGGGCCTTCTAGAAAAGACCAAACTTGATTAGGTAAGCTTCATGTGACGATCGTCGAGATGAGACTCGGAGTATCTTGCTATCGTGTATCTTATAGCAAGTGAAATAGGAGAAGTATGTTGTTGTTGTTGGCGAAGGAAAGTCTATAATTTGGTATAAAATCTGGCTGACAAATATGACAAGCAAAGAGCACATTGGTATTCGATGGTTATGTCCTGTGTAAGATCACTCGAATAATGAGACCTGGAATAAATAGAGTCTTAACCAGTCATTGATACTTGCAACCAAGAACAAAAGCCTTTATGAGGAGAGTTTTACAAGCCTCCCATAAAAGCTGTGCTATATTTGGTATGAGCTCTGCCGATCATTCTCGTAAATCTGTATATGGCTTCACCTTACTGTAGACCAAAGTCATCCAGTGAACTTTATGTCTGCGCATACACAGTAATGTGTTGCTAGCGAAGTATCATACTAGAAGTCAGCCACAACTTTCACCATGTACTTGTCCAAGATATAACGAGCAAACCTTCATGAGGGAAAACGAGGGAATATCCTGGTGAGCCCGGCCCATCAAGCGCTGTCGGATTATAGTTGGTCCGAGCGGCGCAACTTGGATGCGGGAAAAAAGATGGGCGATGATATGGTTTGTTTTGGATCCGGATGAGTGCTGGTCGTCATTCTGGTCGGTGAAGCCATAGTACAAGGCAGAGATGCTGTCTCCGTCGTCTATGAAGCCTTCAGCTCCGTCAGCATCTCTTCTTCGGTTTCTGCGATCACAATCCGATTCCTTTTTCTTCACAGCCAACCCAACTACTTGCGGACGATCTCTCAATAATGATCCCCAGCTTCATCATCAGCATCACGCCTTTTCGCTAAGCAGGACGTCGGAATGGACGCATATAAATCCTGCACCATGCCGTGCAAGCCTGGAATCATGCTTGTTACCCTTTCCGGGCCTCTCGACTAGAACTCGCGGTACTTTACGATGTCGGGCGTCGCTGGCTCAACGCTCTTCACCGAGTCCGTTTTTCCTCCCTAATGCGCAGTCTACGCGCGCATCATCCACCAAGAGCAAGAGCTTGTGGCGTAGGCTCTTTGACTTCAAGCGAAACAAAGCTGCCGAATCTAAATCATATCTCCGCCAGCCACCTGCACTGATCAATGACGGAACGGAGGGAAGCTTTAATATTGGCCGCGGATTAGTGGCAAAGGCATCTAATGAGCCGCGCCTGCGATGTACTGAATTCGACAGCACTGGGAATGTGACTCTAGTAAATGGCGAATTCAAGAAAAGTGAGCTGATTGCCAAGGTCAGTATCGGTGGCTCTTCGAATCGCTTCATCTTAGGAAGTGACACATGACTGATTTCAAGCATAGTATGGTCTCCTGCCTCGGGACTTGCGAAAAATCGACTCGTCTACTCTGCCTCATATCTTAGTGCGACCGCGCGCCATTCTCATCAATCTCCTACACCTCCGAGTCTTGATCAAGGCTGATCGCGTTCTCGTGTTCGATGCGTACGGATCCACGGACTCATACATGCAGTCCCTATTTGTGTATGACCTTGAAGGAAAGCTACAACAGAAACAAGGGCAGACTGCGGGTGCGTTGCCTTACGAATTCCGAGCGCTGGAAGCGGTCTTGATCAGTGTCACAAGTGGCCTGGAGGAGGAATTCAACGGTGTCAGAGATCCAGTTGTGAGCGTGCTTAGGGCTCTGGAAGAGGACATTGACCGCGACAAGCTCCGTCATCTGCTTATTTACTCCAAGAAACTCGGCACGTTCGAACAAAAGGCTCGCCTCGTGCGTGATGCGATCGACGACCTGCTGGAGGCTGACGACGACCTGGCCGCAATGTATCTTACTGAGAACTCGAAGGGTGTCCGACGCGAGGAACACGAACATCAAGAAGTCGAGATGCTACTGGAGTCATACCACAAAGTTTGCGACGAAATTGTGCAGGCCAGCGGCAACTTGGTGACTGGAATCCGCAATACCGAGGAAGTGTAAGTTATTCACAGTGTCCCAGATGGTTGTCCTGTAACTGGATACTGACCTAAACTACAGCGTTAAAGCCATCCTGGATGCCAATCGCAACTCCCTCATGCTTCTGGACCTCAAATTCAGCATCGGAACGCTCGGACTCGCAACCGGAACCCTGTTTTCCGCACTTTACGGAATGAACTTGAAGAATTTCATCGAAGAGTCGGACTTGGGTTTTGGCGCCGTGTCCGTTACATGCTTTGCCATTACGATTGTTGTCTGTGTCTATGGGCTCGCCAAACTGCGCAAGCTTCAGCGTGTCCGCATGTGGGGCGAATCCGGCGTCGGCGGTGCATCCATGGTTTCTCTCCCTACCAGAGGCGGCGCGCTCGCCAGCCATCGGCCAAATTGGCGCGCGGACACCGTTGAGCCTGTCTGGGGCAGTCTCCCTGGTGAAGGGCGCGTGGAGAGGATCAAGCGTATCAAAGACAATGCAGCTGCAGCTGCAGCCCGATCTGCAACCCTTAAGGGTGCTAATGTGCCCCCAACGTCGTCCGGAGAAGCTACCAAGCAGTCAGAGAGTTCTTAGACCATAATTTGTCACACTAATAATCAGTGGGATCTCATAGAGCATCGCTACTATCAAAATCTGACCTACTCGGCTCTTCTCTACAGTCCTGGCCTGACCATCATCCCTGTTGTTGCGGTTGTGGTGCTATGGCTCAGGCATTCGACCACGAAGTTTATCCATTAGAGCTTATAGAACCGCATGGCAGGAGTTCGGCATCTGGTTTGTATTCTGATCTTATATTACTTTTGGGTCTATTTTTCAGCTAGTACTGCCCTCCACTTCATGGGGAGATCCTGTATCTAGCTTGATATACTTACCACACTCAACTCACTCACGGGTTTCTTATTTCATGGGAGCTAAATCTGCTCTGTAATGTGTCTATAGACTATAGATGTCGAATTGGACACCGACAATGTTACATACAGATGTACATTTACAACAATTAACATCATCATGTCTTTTTCTTCCATGTACATAGACGAAACATTTATCTAATGTGCATTTTCAAGTTACTTTTGCAAAGGGTATCTCATCCACATATCCTCGCTACACTTTTCACAACACAAGCATGTTCAATGCCCACCCTGTTTCCCCATCCCAGACCCCTTATTCAACCCCTTCGCCCTCTCAATCCAGATCTTCCCAGCAGCCTCAACGCCCCCCTCACGCGAACACTCCCGCCTTACAGCATCCATAACCCGCTCCAGGACTACTTCTCCGTCACCACCACCACCATCAACCAATCCACTTCCCCTCTCCTTCCACACCTGTGTCGTCCGCCTTCTTCCTCCAATAACAGCCATATTCCTCGTACTAGGAATCCGCAACAGCGTCCTCTCCACCTCGTACCCGATTTCCTCCGCCACACTCATCGTCTTCGCCGTCAACGAACCATACATTGACTTAAGGAACCCTGCTTCCGTGGTCTGAGCATCCTGTTTCTCCTTCCGGAGGGATTTGAGGTCTCCTGATGATGGATTGGTCTCTTCTTCCATTCCTCCTTCGTCTTCTTTGTCTGATTTCTCCTTTTTCTTGCCCGCCTTAGGAGGCGGATACCGGAATCTCGCTCCAGAGAGCGAATGCGAGCAGCATGGGATAGCGATAAAGGGTGATGGCGACTCGGGACAAAGGAGCGTAGCCATGAGCGGAGTCCAGACGGTGAGTTCATCTGCGTGGTTGGAGATAATGAATGTGTCTTTTGGGAAGGACCCCGAGTGGGATTTTATGGTGAGCTCTTGGAGCAGAGAGGGGTTCGTTTCGGAGAATGGTTTTGGGATGTAGATCTCCTCTGTGAGTCGTGATTGCACGGACTCTGGAAATATGCTCCATGTTTTGCGTCGGCGGGCGTCGAAGCCCCAGCCTTTGTAGCCTTCCATGAGCAGGACGTAGACGAGGACGCCGTTGCCACAGGCTACGTCGACGAAGCCGGGGAAAGAGGAGGTAGATGGGGAGGAGGTTTGCTCGTCTGCTGGGACAGCGCCGTACATGCTTCTCCAGAGTTCAATGAGGAATGCGGTGATTGCGAGGTCTTCGAAGACATGCTTGGAGGGCTCGGTGCTCTCGACCCAGTTTTGGCAGAGCTCTGCGGCGTACTTTGCCTTCAGACGCGTGTAAGTGTTTTGCACTAGGTGCTGAGGGATCACGTTGTCTTTGGCTGGGTTTTGACTGGCGCCGCCGCCCCCTTCTGGTTTGCCGGTTAGACGGGTGCCGCGGGCGAGGCGGATTTGGATAGTCAGGAGGGCTTGTAGGGTGCGTTCTAGACGGTTTTGGATGGGTTCGTTGGGGAAGAGGAGGAAGTGAATGGACATGGTGCCGGGGTTAGGGGAGGGTTCTGATGTGTTGTTGTGAGTGTTGTAGTCGTATAGGAAAGCTAGGGAACGGAGGAGAGGGTGGTAGAAGGGCATGTCTTCTTTGGAGGTGACGTGGGGGGTATAGACAGCGAGGTATCGGTTAATAGACTCCTCGTTTGTGTCTGTGGACTCGTTGATGTGTTCGTAGAAGTGACATGTTTGGTCCATGACCCTGTCCAGGTTCGGGTTCCTGGGAATGAGTCTCCTCACGACCGTTCTGGTGAGAGTGAAATTGGGGATTTGCCTTGCGGTGATGGGTTCCACATGCTCTTCAGCCGTCTCCAGATTGCTGTTCCCATTCTGAGCGAAGGACTGCTCTTTCTGTTGCGGTGTTCGCAGTGAACCCCAGCTGTCGAAGAGGATGTCTGCCCGGTATAGATGGGTTGAGCTCATATTCGGGTTTGCCAGGAGGAAGATGGTCATATCTTGGATGACTTCCGGCTTGAACGGGAGACCATGCTCAGCCAGGTCTTGAGAGGTGACCCATTCTTCTGTGCTGCTTGCCAAAATCGAAGATGGCTCGAGAGTCTCCGCAAGTGGTTTTCCGGAGAGACGAGTCAAGTCTCGCGGATTCTTTCTTTTGTTTCCAGTCATTGTTTGGTGATTGGAAGTATATGTGGCTTATATCGGTGTAACTGACTGACAAGGAAATGCAGCTCCTTGCCACAGATGCAGATGACTGGCTCTATCTCCAGTTTTAGTGGGAATGTGTCTCTTTACAAGAGATGGCTGTTCATCATTGAAGAATTCTGCCATTGGTCTCCGATTAGTCAGTGAGTCCATGGTGGGGGAATTGGCAGAGACCTTGATCTATGTTACTTTAAAGTGCTTTTGTATAGGTGATGATGTGTGGTTTGCCTATGGTACATGCAATGTCAGACACCAAGAGATGCCCCTCAGTGGTATACAAATTGATGTAGAATTCCCCTCCATCGCGTGCAGATCTAATATTAGTCATTGTGTACTATGCATCATGTGACTGTCTCTTATGCTCATGCTGTTTACTATGCGTATCTACTTGAAGCAATGCTAAAGAGATAGCTTAGATAGCTATTTCCCTATGGCCGAAGAGGGTTCATTACAGAAAGATGACCCTTTCCGCGCTAAGTTTGGTCTATCTTCAATCCCTGGCCTATCTCCATCCTTTCCTTGACGCCTCGCATGTTTAGGCAGATCATGCCGTAGGCAACAAAGCCGATTGACTGACCAGCGTCCTATCAATGTGGCCTAAGTTTGGGAGCTGATCAACTCGGACTAATCCTACTAGCCTAAGGAGTCTACTGCCTAGATAGTTAGATTGTAGGGGCCCTTGCTGACTTGAAGTTAGTGGACAGATAACGCGCCGTTCCTCACGGAGTTTGAGAGCTTTCCATCGCTCCCGCTCATCTTTGCTTTTTTTATTCTCCGGTCGCCTTCTTTTTGGCTCCTCGTGTCTGCATGTACTATGTAGGTACGGCGTGCATAGTTTCGCACCCGCCGATTGAGTTATTGATAAGTTAGAGCTTGGGATGTCCTGCAGCGCCGAAAATCCTCGTATGGGCGGCCGAGGGAGGCCCGGAAATGCAGGCATCGGTTTGCCTTTTGCGCACATCCGCTGAGTCAGTGGGCAGCCGCTGTTTGCATCGAGGCTCCACTTGGCGCTTTTCTTGCCATCCCGGCTTCCGCATATTATTTGTCTCTTAGACCTTCCTCGGATTGATTGCTTTTATTTGCTTTATGCTTGATACGGAATCGATGAATGCAGGTGGCAGACGCCTTCAGTGCCCCCTCCTCCCAAAAACCACCTGATCGCTTGCCTCGCCATGGGTCTGATTGATGTCTTGCCCGCTCTCAATGTCCGAATCTGAAGCTAGTCCGGACTACGGAGATATACCACGCACCCCGTTTGGTAGGCCGAAATGGACTTACTACCCAGAAAATTGCTACACTGTGCCTTCGTACTGTGCCTGCTAAGCCTCGCATCAACCTTGCTTAGCATATTCCGTGTCGAAAATCCTGCTCATCGAGCGGGCGAGCATCGTGCAAAGACCGACGATCATCGCGGCCTTTTATGTCTTGCGGGGCCTCGACGGAGATTGACATGACCATGACGTTTACAAACTATATGCTCGCACTAATATGACTAGACTCCAGGTAGTGGGCACTGCCTATCAGGCTACTATTGCGATTTTACGATTGCCTTCGCCTATATTACTCTATATGCACGAAGGATTCGGATGACAAGTAGAATTCTATCAGTGCTTTTTGCTTTGGGAACATCCACAAAAATGAGTATGCCTTTGTCCCCTCGACGAACAGACTGTCGCAAATTAAAACATGGGACAACCGATTCTGACACGGCAGTTCTTGAGACTGGTGGGCTCAAACACGCTAGGTGTTTGATGTTACCTCGCACATGTTTCCCATGTTGCTCGTGTTCAATCGCGCAGAGAACGTGACACACCAGAGCCGATCGCCGCAAAAAGAAACTTCCCAGAGATGGACAGGAGAATAGCAGGCCGCTCGTGTCAACACGCACCACCGCACTAACCGCTTGCTACATTAGCTCGGTCTCAACGAACCATTGCTTTAGCTTCTACGCTCCAAAGGCAATGCGCGCAGTAGCGGCATAACGACTAATATAGCGGCCATTTCTAAGGGGCCGACGGAGAAAGGTGCTAGATCACTAGGCGACCAACCGTCTGGGACTAAGAGTAGACGTGCGCGACTCCGATATATTGTAGGCTATGGACTGGCGTATTCTTGGCGATTACAAACTACACAAACTACAACACAAACTGAGCAGTCTGGATACTCAGAGATGCTCAGACCCTTGGAAGCCTTAGCATGACTCCGCACAATAATGGGGCCATCCGGCGCCCACTTGACCGTACCGTGAACAGTACAGTAATGTTCGCGATGCGCCTGGTTCGATCTCCGCCACTGAGCCAAGATCATAGATGCAAGGTTGAATGAAACTGACCCCGCGTACAGCCTCGGGAATGCCGAGTGGCTGTTTCCGGTCAAAATTTCAAGATGAGGGGGCTGTGGCTACTCACATGGTTACACCTGTCGCGGGTAGGCCCCATTAAGTGTTTCTCCGGTAGACCCTTTTGATCTAGCATTGTTCGATGTACTCTGGATGTGAAGTCATCCATACAGGGCTAACATACGCAGTAGTGTACAGATTCTTTGTCAGATTGCCCTGGGTCACAATAATCATATGGAAGGACTTCGGAGTAGACATGGTAGTAGTTGCAATAACCAAAGACTTCATACTGTTTTACTGACAACGTGGAAATAATTCAGACAGCCAAGGTGACTCGAATGAAGATGGACAATAGCGGGGTAAGACCGCGGGTGAGACATTTCTGGATTGAATCTGCTGGGATAGTAAGATGCTTGCAGCCAGCAACTTTAGTCTCTGAGCATCTGCGCAACCGCCATACTCTCTAATCGATCTGGACGGGCAGTTGTGGTATGTACTAGGAAGAAGTCTGAGTCGAACATACCCAGGATCCTGCAGAAATCGCGACAAGAACGTTGTTGGTTGGCGGATTGCACGCATGGTCTAGCAACGGGGAGATCTAGGCCCCGAAGATCAAATTCCTAATGAGTCGATGCCTCCTGCTGAATGCATACCAATCATCGTCTGCCAAAAGTCTAAGCTTGGGAGACTGAAGAAAATGTAATGTCTCAACCGTGAACAATCAAAGTTCTGAAGCAAAGCAATCAGATCGAGTAGTACTACTGGAAGGATTACCCAGAATTCTATTCAGAACCCTCCTGTCAGGAGGATTTCTCTTACCCGCGCGAGCAGAAACCGAAAGTTAAATCAACGCGACCACCATTCATCGATGATTTCAGGGGAGAAGAGAAAAAAGGAAAAAAAAAGAAAATTTGCCCTGTTTCGGTAAGATTTGATAAGTACCCGACCCACCAGACGGTACCATAGATAGTAACAGCAGCTAATAATTGAACAATGTGATTCGTCCTAGGCGTGTTCCAAGTGCCCCAGCTAGCAGAAGCTAGATGCCGGCTAGACTGGCTGGTGTGGTGCTCCACCGGCACTGTTTTGGACAATCCGGTGCATCACCCCTAGAGGGCCTGGACCGGGTGGGATTTTCACAGTCTTAGCAAGGAAATACACTCAGTCAGTAGCCTGTATCCTAGGCTCATCATGAGATCAAAATCAGATGCCCATCTCTTTTTTTTTTTTCTATGTCTCCCCATCAATTCCATCAAAGTAACCAAGTCTTATTAAATCTAATACTGATCCATAGCAACTCTCAATATCGCTAGCTAACTATTAGTATTATATGTGTCTCATGTTAGGGTAAGAGAATCCACACCCATGTCCATATCAGAAAAAAAAAAAAAAGGAAAATGTATACACTCCTTATCCCCTAGTAACCATTCATTCATAAGGTGTATCTCATTTGATGTGTGAGGAATTCCTCAGCCTCATCACATTGCCATTATGGTTTTCTATAATATTAATACTTATATCAATATCCATCTTCCCAACATCCAATTAATATCAAACATCCAACAAGCCACACCAGGGGAACGGAGTCGAAGGTTTCAGGTTTTTTCTCAGGAGATGACATCGACTAGACTAGTACTCCTGAGATAATCTGGAACCCCCCAACCAAGCCGGGATATTCTGGAACTCACATAAGCATATCTGGAACTTTATTAGTAAGCCGAAGCTAAGCCGCTGGCTCGCTCTCAGTACCTTTGCTTCTTTCGTTTTCTCCAGACCAAGACTGACATCAGTGTGTGGCGAGGTGTTCACTCAGTAACGAACTATAATGCAGAAAGCGGAGGGAACTACTTACTACAATCATCACGTCTAAAATCTAAGTTTAGGATATAAGTAATATACCCCGTAAACAGCATACTTTATTACTTAAGTTTCAGTTAAGTAGTTAACTACTGTATTGTTTGTTAGTCAATAAGCACAAGGCAGCCATCGTGATTTGATTCAATTTCGTGCATTCATGACATCTCCGCAAACAGGTACGACTGGTATGGGCGAGGGTTGTCGATCCCTACTTCGCATAAAAGGTGTGGCATGTCGGGTTGGACAGTCAACACTGCCCCCCTTCCCCTCCCTTCCCGAATTTGTTTGCTTCCCAAGGCGGAATTCCCCAGGTGACTAATGCGAGAGAAGGGGACGCAATGCATCGATTGCATGTCACTTACTTCACTGTAAGTGATCGATGGCTAGATTTCCGAGTTGGGGGGTTTAGTATCAATCTATACGGGTTAGTTTATTTGGAAAAAGAAAAGGAATGAAATGAAAGATGGTCTGGTTTTTGGGGAGGGATTGTATGAAATAACAGGAGTAATTCTTGGCTTTTTCATTATCCTGGGGTTCCTGGAGAAGGGTATCGCTGCTTGTTGAAATCGAGCTTGGTCATACCCATTCAAGAAGGGTGAGGGAGAGTCGCTTAGTAACCACTCTGATTACACACACAGTAACTGACATACAGACATGCATACTCCATACATACTCCGTATTTATCTCTGCGGCTGGTTGATTTGCCAATGATCACCAGATCATGGTTCCTCAGTAGCGTCTATTCATGTTCTTCTTTCTATTGGGGGGGTTTTAGGGAAAGACATGGCGGATCCCAAGAACTTTTCGAACATGATGGAAAATTCTTTCGGGCAATTCAATTGGAATAGACATAGACTTGATCTTTCCCCTGTTTGACCTTGTTTCTAGCTATTTACTAGAACAAGCTTAGTGCTGGAGCTGAGACTTGAAAGTAAGTCCATAGTAAGATAGACTAACTAAGGGAGGGAAAGAGAGGAGAGGAGAGGAGGAGAAGGTCTGCGACCAGGTGCCGGAAGGTACCCGCTGATTCGTACGGTGGTGCGTTCCCAGCTCCATATCGGTTGCAGCATCTTGAGGCAGAACTGACCAATCTGTCCGAAGCCGATTGCAGCGGGCGAATCCCGGCCTGACCTCGACCACTAGACGAAGTGGGTTTTCGGGTGGGTTTTGGTGACGGGAGGATGTGCAGCGGTGGCCGATTGGGTCTTGGCTGCATCATGGGTTGGCTCGACCAGAGCCAAGTGGGTTGGTGCTGTCGTGTCTCATCAATCCCATCCACATAATCAGGATCTTTTTTAGTTCGGTCATTCGGTCGTCGATTATCTTCGTCGTCATCATCGTCGTGGTCATGATCTATTCTTCTCTGGTCTCTATGTGTGTGCCTGTCTGTGTGTCTGCCGGTTAGACGTAGACTAGATTTAGAGTAGTGCTTGGTAGTGGTAGTGGTAGTGTGTGGAAGGCACTATTCCAAGCCAATGCAATTGTGTCTGTTATCGGCGCGTGAGTGGACACTTGCTATCTATGGGCTTGGTTATTTTTTTTTCCTTCTCAGGGGGTGCAGCAGCAGCAGCATCTTTTGTCGCTGTATATCAGAGACGTCAAATTGTGAGTCCCTCCTAATGGGGACAATGTCAGATAGGGGAAGCGAGACATCATTCTTTATTTTCTTCAGATACGTAAGTAAGTCGGTAGTCTATTAGATGAATAGATATAGACGAAATTAATCAATATTATTCTTCTCCAGCATTGATGAAAATTGAGATGATCATTATCATGGGGTTATTACTGTGGAATAATCTGGGAAGGGAAGAGTGACCAACAAGAAAAACCGGTTTCAACCTGGCGCGGTAGCATCTCCTGGTAAGCGTGGACGATACTCGGAACGGCTTAGACCCAGTGTACAAATTAACCCAGGTACAGGAAGTTTTCAACTAATGTGAGTGCAGTCGTAGGTACCTCGCGAAAATGGAGGGTTTTCCCCCCATTCCCTCTTCCGATTTATTACTATACATTCAATTCATTCATAGCTAGTTAGTAGCAGTAGTAGTTTTATTTTTGTTGTGGTGGTTGTTATTATTATTATACTATTACTACCAATTCTGGTATACGAATGACCCAGCCGATGGCTGGCTTGATGAGGGGGAAAATCATTCTATTATAATAGTACACTCTTCTAATAATCAAAAATCCATACATACATAAGTCCGAATCATACTAATAATAATCCTGCCTATCCTAGTCATAATCCATTGCACACGGTCTTCTTCTTTCCGATCGTTAGTTAGTCGACAGTTAGTAGCATCCCTCCCCCGGTGGCCGATTAAGACCATCGAGATTATTGGGGCTTTTCTGGGTCGCGCAATCTTGCCTTCTCGCCCTCTTACCCTTCCTCTTCTTCCTTTTCGCATCCCGTTTTGGAGGGGCTTGATTTTCTTGGGACATTCCTTTCAGTCCATCAGTCAGACTTTCTGCTTTCGCATGCAAAATCCGGGTTCCCCTCTCCGTTGACAGTTGTCGCTCAGCTCACGCCTCTTTTCCTGCCTCCGTTTCCGGATCGAGCCCTGGCGGGGGATCCACGGCCGTTAGAGACTTTGGAAGACCAACAGAGAAAAATAGAAAATTAAAAAAAGAGAAAAAAAAAGAAAAATTAAGATAAACCGTGAAAGCTAAAAAAAAAATTACAGAAAAAGATACGCACGGCTCCATAACTCACCCATTCGGGCTGCCTTTCCGCCCAAAGCTGACCGTCTTCCATCTTGCTTCTTACTCCAACCATCCGCCGTCTGCCATCCCATCCCATCCTCTCTCTCTCTCTCTCTCTTTCGCTACCTTCGCTCTCTCTCTTCCCTACTGACTTGCTACTCCTCCTCCTCTTCCCCTTTCACCTTCCCACCACACCCCCCTCCTCCTCCTCCCTCCCTCCTCCCTCGCCTCTCTCTCTCTCTCTCTTACTTACTTTCCACTCCCTTCCTACGGTTGAACCACACCTCCTTTCGTTTGTCTTCATTTGATCTCCCTTTCTATTGTCAAGTCTTCCTTTTGTGATTCCCCTTACTTTCGTTATCGACGTCCTTGGCGCCTTTCGCGTGTGTCCTTTAATAGTTCGATCTCGACATCAACCCTGGCTTCAGTCGTCGTCGGATTGCGTCCCTTCGTTCCGTGGTTAGGCAGCGTCAATCGCGCCTCTAGTTGTGGTTCAGGAGATACCTAATTCCAGTCTAACGGGTGCATTGCTTTTTTCCACATCCACCGCGTACTGGCTGATCGGATCACTTCTTTCCCATTTTGATCGACTATTATGGCTCCTCCGCCGCGCTTGCGCATTCTGTCAGGTTAGTGCTCAGCCGCTGCCCAGAAAGACACCACCTATCGTCATTTCCCGACAACCCTTTATCCTGGATGATTTGCTGGTCCACTCGGTCGCTGCATCCAAGAGACTCCTAGACTCCGTTGAGACTCAGACATTATCATGGGTCGTCTGCTAACGCGGGTCTGTTTAGTGGGCAGCAATGCCATCTCGGCGTTCCTTTCCTGGAGGCTCCAGGCGACAACCTCCTGCGACGTGACACTGGTCTGGAAATCGGGCTACGAGGCAGTCTCTCAATACGGCGTGTCTTTCAAGTATGGCTGGTCGCTTATTCTTATAACACGGCGAGGTTCTGACAGGGCGTGATTTAGGTCAAAAGCGTTTGGAAACGAACGGTTTAAGCCACGTCATGGTGAGTTCTGCCCCTTGGTCACACACCTGTTCGCTTGTGTGCTGATTAGAGTTCTGCGATAGTCGTTCGGACGCCCGAAGAAGCAGCATCACGAGAGAACGCATACGACTATGTAATCCTCTGCGTCAAGGCTCTGCCCGATGTATACGACCTGGCTGCGGTAATAGAGTCCGTTGTGACCCCTCAGCATACCTGCATTTTGGTCAACACAACCAATACCCTCGGTGTCGAATCGCATCTGGAACAACGGTTCCCGACAAACGTCGTCCTTTCGCTTGTCTCAGGCGTCGAAATCACCCAGATCGGAGCCAGCGAGTTTGAGCACCTGAACTCATCGGAAATATGGATCGGTGCTACGAATCAGAACTCGAACGTTCCCTCCTCCATCCAAACCGATATGGCTGCGGCGTTAGCGATGACTCTGAGCTCAGGCCAGGTGGATTGCAAAGTATCGAAGAATATCAGACAGGAACAGTTTGAACGTATTATAGGGTGAATTATCTCCCCGTATGATTTACGAGGATGTCGATCTTTTGCTAACCACTGCATATTCTAGTCCTATCGCCTTCTACCCCGCCAGCGTTATGTTTGATTCTGGAAATGTACAGCAATTATTAGAAAAAGTTGGCGTGCGTCAGCTGATATCGGACGTGATCGACGAACTCATCGATTTGGCGAAAGCACACGGTTGCTCTTTTCCCAGCGACTTCAACCAGAAGACTATGGAGAAGATGACGACCACCCAGACGCCAAACACTATGTACCAGGATTTCCAGGCTCGGCGTCCCATGGAGATCGAGACGTATCTTGGTTCTCCCATCAAACTGGCAACGGAGTCCAATGTCAAACTCCCACGCATCGAGACCCTCTATGCAATGCTGCACCATATCAATGCCACTAATCTGAGCAAACCTCGTGATTCTCCCCCTCCGGCCCTGGCTCAGCCTCCGCCCCGGGTGTCTTCGGTTCCTCCTCCCAGAAATGGTCCTATGCGCCCGCCCCCCGGAAGGTCAAGTTCCGCCATGATGATGCCCCCACCGAGACGTGGACCTCCGATGCCTGGAATGTCGCGACCACCAAGCGCTCAGCCCCCGGCTGGCGGACCTAGGATGCCCCGTGAACCGTCCTTGGAAGGCCTTGAGGAGTTCAGCCATCTGGTCGTTTATGATGATGCCGGCGATCAGGGTATGCCTGCAAATGGTGCCAATGGCTATCCGGACGTTCCGCCAGGCGCCGGACCATCTGGACTGGCTTTGAGAGAACGCGAGCTGGCCATTCGCCAGCGGGAGTTGCAGCTTCGAGAGCAAGAGATGCACATGCGTCGTGGTCCCCGCAGACCTCCGCCTTCCAAGGCAGCTGCTTTCGATGAGGAAGACGAAGATGATTACTTCGATCCCATGGATACTAGCTTGGTCCCTCAGATCGACCCCGACAACGTTGATATGCTGAGTATCACATCAAAGAGGACAAAGAAAATCCCCAGTGCTAGTCAGATTCGCAAGAACCCCGAGCTCCTTTCGAGCACTGGCGGGGGTGGTGGCGGCGGCGGCGGTAGAACTGGGACGTTCAGCCGCTACTTTGGAGGAAACAGGAAGCGCGCCAGTGACCGTATCATGCAGGAAATCCCTGGCCTTCATGACTCTCTCCTAGACAACCCCATGATGGCTTACTCGTCAAACCGGTACGGGTCTGTTGACCGAAACCAAATGGCTGCGGGTTCCCGGACCAACTCGATGACTACCAGCCGAATGGGTGACTACCCTCCTCATCCGTACCCGCAAAGCAGGAGGAATAGCCATTCTCCTGCAGCTCCTTTCGGTGGTCCTCCTGGTCCGCGAATGGGCCGCCCAGCGACTGCCCAAGACCAGAACTTTGGCCCACCTCATGGGCCCCCGAACGGCGGCCACCCGTCGCCTCCGGGACACATGCGAGCGCCAGTCCCTCGCCATCCTCCTGGGCATGGCAATGCGGTAGGTCCGCAGCAGGTTGAACAACAAATTGGGGTGAGCAAACCGTATCCCGCCAAGGGCACTCCCAAGCATAGAAGTCTGACAGGAAGTGCGAGCGCCAGCGCGGAGAGTGGTGACAGCGGGGCTAGTGCCAACCTCGATTCCGAGACCTCTGCCCATAGCAGCCAGATCAGCCTCGGCGCGCAGCCAGCTGCAGCGCCCGTTCACTGAGTCGCGAAGCCCGTCCTTCCTTCGTCTCTCCTTCGAAACCGCTGAGCACTTGCCTTGGCCCTGACTGCTATGGACACGACTGGTTTCGTTAACGTCTCCATCTTTTCCCCTTTCCAGTCGGGAGGGTGATTTCCATGCCTTTTGGGACACCCTTCCCCGTATTGCTTTTTGCTTCTTATAAAGAATATACTTTTAATGAGATGCTTTGGCAAGGAGGGTGGGCACAGACTCCATGTCAATTGTCTGTTGTTTGCGGCTTTCTGACATATACACCAAGGGACATAGGGGCTTTCACTTTCTCACTTTCTCGTTTGATGATTTCCACTACGGAGTGGTCGGGCGGGCGCGTGCGTGCGTGCATGCATGATTGTTGCATGTGGTGATTTGCCTTGACTTTGATTATCTCTGTTCTTTTTTTCCTCTCAAGTTGCACGGCATTCTCGAACATTAATGAGCATGAGCATGAAGCTCCACCAGATAAATATGTTTTCTTGACTTTCTACAGCTATACCACCGACGTTCATTGCCAGACGCACACCATACATGCCTTGTTTCTGCAAGACCCAGTGTTGTACACTACCCAGCTCGGCGCATCGTCCTGTTGTCTATTCCCTACCATCTCCGCTGCTTTGTTTGACACGCATGCCCTCCTTTGACTTGATTTCCTTGGCCGTCTCCTTCCATAGCTGTTCTGTGCTGTTCTGTATGGGCTCTGGCGCGAACATCACACCACCCTGTCATCTTTCTCATTCATGGTCCGGTTTCTGGCGCATAAAAAGAGCAAGGGGTTGATTTATTCGGTTGATTGATTGATTTGATTTGGCTGGGTTCATGTTCCTACCGGGTGTTAGTGAGAGGAACTGCGTCGGGATTGTCGGCGCGGCAACTGCTCCATTGATTAGAACATGTTGACAATAAACGAGAATTAATCGAATTTACAACAGTAACACTACCACTCGTGTAAGATTCAAGAGTGATGCCTGAAGGTAGACAGACCATGGCAGCATTTGTTGCCGGAGGCACCTACACGTGACCTGCAGTACCGCGGGGGTAAACAAATCCCCTCGATCTGCAGCTCACATCACTTTGTCCAACCCACCACCATCTACACAACTGCAAACACTTCTCCTCTTTACAGACTACGCCCCAACCAAATCAACCACCAAGGAGGACTAATTATTAAGCAACCAACAATGCCCTCCCACCAATACACCCACTCCCAATCCCTCCCCCGACACTCCATCCTCCCCGCCTCCACGACCGCCGGCCCCTCCTCCATGGGCAGCTCCTCCATGTCGATGGCCAAGACGCGCCAGTACAGCAACCTGCATAATCAGCTGGAGCAGCTGAACGCTAATCTTCGGGACACGGAGAATCTGCTTAGGATGACGGCCGTGCAGGCGGAGGATATGCGCTTCTTGGGCGGGTATGTTGGCGCGTTGTTTATGGGGTCTGCGAAGGTGTTGGGGGAGGAAGGGGTAAAGGGGAATAGTAGTGGGGAGGAGAAGAGGGAGGGTTGAGTTGGGATTTCCGTTGAAGGTTTAGTGGAGAAACTTGGGGGTATCACCTTTCATGATGGATATGTTATGGATTGGTACAAGGATATGGGTAATGTGAGTGTTTATTCTCTATTGACTCTCGGTCTATTTGCTGATTGCGAAGATCTTCTACAAGCAGTCAGTCATCTCAGCTGTCGACTACGAATCCTCCTCCTAGAATGATTGCCGGCTCGTCGATGTTGTGGTGTTCGTAGCTGGCGTACAGCGTCAGCTAAGCTACGTACAAATCTCCGGGGTATATACTCACCTCAATGTGCCCACACCACCCGCTTCCAAAATCAGCGCCGTCTCCGTCAACGGCTTCCCCGTCCACCGCATCGCAAACGCACGCAGGATATGTCCATGTGCCACGACGAGAACATCGCCCTTGGAAGAAGAGTCGCCGTCGAAACAGGGCTTGTGGAACTTCTCTCTGATCTCTGCAATCACGGCGTCTAGACGCTTGATCACGTCTTCGGGGGATCTAGTGCACCATCATCAGTTAGCTTAGCTATCCAATACAAAACATCACACACCACCATCAACAACAACACCATCATCCATGACACCATGCATAAACGCAAAGAAATAGATGGGATAACATACTCTCCCCCGGGACACCCATCTCTCCAAATCTCCCACTCCCCCTCTCCCTTCTCCCTCCTCATCTCCCGTATCTGCTTACTCGTCAACCCCTCATACTCCCCATAATCCCACTCCCTGACAGCCTCCGTAACCTCCACCTTCGCCTCCGTGCGTATCGGCTCCTCATCCTCCGACTTCCGCGCCTCGTTCCACGGTAATCTCTCCTTGCATCCGATCTCGAGGAGTTCGAGGGTACGTTGGGCCCGTGCGCGCGGCGACACGTACCTACACCACCACCACACATCTATCATTAGCCTACACCCCCCACCAGTTATCGTATATAAAGTGGGGGTGGAATGGGGGTTATGAACATACACATGAACCAACTTCCTCGGCACAATCAACCGATCATTCCCGACCAGAGCCTTTCCCGTGGCTTTTATACGCTTCTCGCCGTTCTCGGTCAGCGGTAGGTCCGTCGAGCCGGTGTGTCGGCCGTTCAGGGACCAGGAGGTTTCGCCGTGGCGGATTATGAAGCAGCGGGGGGTCATTTTTCTTTCTTTCTTTTGGTGTTTTCTTGAAGTATGTTGGGGGATGAGTCGTGGGGAGGGGAGATTGGGTGTGTAGTAGGGAATGAGAGGATGGCTTATGGGGACTTAATGATGTGGTGGTGGTGAGTAGTAGTAGCGGGGAGGGCTCGCTGGTTGCGTCATAGGTTTTGTTTAAGTGGATAGGTGATTTGGTCGGTGAGTGAGATGGGATTGGGTCTTATCGATAGGGACGGAGGGTTACGGGTATGTATGGGAATGGAGAGCTGTCAATGTTGCGATGGAGAAAGGTTTTGCTATTTTTGTTTGCTTCTAATATGGAGAGTGTTTTTGCTGGTATGTGACACCATTGAGATCCTAAAGTGCTGATGGCTTACGGCCGAGGAGTTGGGCAAGCTGATCTGAAGCAACAGTTCCTAATCAAAATAATCGCAACAATTGATAATACACTGTCATGCTAAGAGGCACTGGCCCAAGACACATCCCAGGCATCTAGTTATTATCCTTATCATTTAGTACGCTTTTTATCCTCCAGATGTCCCCTTCCCCACCAGTGCCTCCCAGAAAGCGACATGTTAAATAGCAACCGAACCATCACGCCAAAGGAAACACGGAAACCGAAGACGAAAAACCTGCGATAAAATTCAACTCAATTTCTCCTGCTACATACTGTTCCGGCGAGCACAGGCCCAATCATCTAGGCCATGTAAGTGCTCGAGTCGACGCCGCCCTCGGGGTATTCACTGGTATTCATTAGCTTCGCCCGCATGGTTATAAGCATCGGTCTGTACTTACGGAAGGGCAACCTCGAAGCGCTTCTCGATGTCCTTGAGCACCTTCTCGTCATCCTCGGTGCTGACAAAAGAAATCGACAGACCCTTGGTACCGAAACGACCCGCACGACCGACACGGTGCAGGTAGGAGTCGGCATCAGCCGGCAAGTCGTAGTTGATGGCAAGGTTGATACGCTCAATATCGATACCACGTCCGAACACGTCGGTCGCAACACAGATACGCTTGTTGAATTCCTTGAACTCCTTGTAGCGTTTGATACTACCAACCGTTAGTACATAGTAAAGACATGAATAACAAGTACTCTTACCGCTCCTCCTGGCTCACACCAGAGTGCACCGCAATACTGGGGAAGTTGCACTCGCGCAACAGCTTGTCGAGCTCATTCGCACGCAGGGTGCTCTTGACGAAGATGATAACCTGGTTGAACTCCAGGCTATCCAGGAGCTCGTTCAGCTTGCGGTTCTTCTCCGCTTCGCTGAGCTTAATGTAATATTGCTGCAGACCGTGCAGCGTGAGCTTCGTGTCGTCATCGACGTAGACCTCGAGAGGGTTCCTCATGAACTTCTTGCACACGGGGCGGATCTCCTGAGAAAGAGTGGCACTGAACATCATAACCTGCTTGTCGGCAGGGGTGGCACGGAAGATCTCCTGGACATCACGACGCATGTCTATTACGAATCATCAGTACGGCGTAAGATAACCTCACATAAATAAACTCACCGATCTGGTCCAGCATCTTATCACACTCGTCGAGAACGAAAGCCTTGACGTTGCGCAGAGAAAGCTTCTTGTCACGGACCAAGGCGTTCAGACGACCAGGAGTACCAACAACAATGTTGGGGTAGGACTCCTTGTTGGATAGCAATTCAACGTCCTTCTGAATAGGGGTACCTCCGTAGAAGACAGCAGTCTTGACATCAGGAAGGTACTTGCTGAAACGAGCGTACTCGTTCTTGATCTGGTATGCCAACTCGCGGGTGTGGCACATAACAAGGATAGAGCACTCGCCAGGAACCGGCTCCAGCTGGTGCAGAGTGGTCAAAACGAAGACCGCGGTCTTTCCGAGACCAGACTTGGCCTGGCAGAGAACATCGACGTTCAGAATGGCGGTAGGAATGCAGACTTGCTGGACTGTAGTGAGGCGGAACCGTATGTTAGACTTGTACTCGACCCATAAGTTTTGAGAAAGAGAAAAAGCAATTCGCGTCGCAGCGTCCGTCCATCCCCGAGGTTTTGAGTCTGAAGGGATGCATTATAGTCCCACATTTTCTTCCACCAAACAACGAAAGTCAAATGAACTTGCACACAGTCGAAAATTGTGTCAGCTGCAGTAAGACATCTTGTTCAGAGCTCTTTCTGCAGGCGGCAGGAGGACGGCTGCAATTCAGAGAACGGTGGAAAAGCGTCCGACCCGTGTTCTTCGGAAGCAAACCACGATTCATCCAGAATCTCTGCAGGCGAACAAACCAATCTGTGGTATTCCCTGAGCATGGTGTTGCCGTAATTCACCAGAGTAAAGTGAAGCAAACAAGCAAAGGCTGTAGATGCACTACTGCCGCAGGGCGACTCGTCTTATGTATGACGCGAAACAGACATCCTCATGCCACCCGCAAGCTGAGGCGAGATGGGCGCCCCAAAACGACTATGGATTTTCCCCGCGGAGATGGACGGACGTTGGAACATGGAGCAATGGAGGGAGCTTTGGGAAAGAATACGTGATAGACTAACCCTCCGATGGATGTTCGAAACCGCAATCGGTGATGGCACGTAGGAGTTCCTCTTTGAGCAAAAAGTCGCGGAAACCGGTCGAATGGATACCGACGTAACTACCCTTCTTGTCCGGACGGCCGCCAGAAACCGTCAAGTCGCCCTTCTTAGCCTCTCCGTTAGAGGCGGGAGCAGCGGTGGTGGCCGCCGCGTCAGTGGTCTGAAGCTCCTCGTCGGAGTAGTCGATGAGATCCTCTTCGTGGGACATGGTGATGGATGGTGTTGATAAAGGAAGTATTCGAGAAAACTCTGTTGTTGTCGCGTCTTATCCCAAGGCAGTCGAGCCGGGGTAGGTGTCGTCAAGATAGAAACCGGGGGTGAAAATCTATGCAAGCCGAGTATCTAGTTCGAAGACGATGCGAAATCCTCCTCGTGACTATTGTGAGATGAATTGAGGATGGGAAAGGTCGAAGCGCGAAGGAAGACGATGGAGATGAAGAGAAGGTTGTCGACGCGCGAAGGGATGGAAGCGGCTGAGCCTCCGAGATCCCAGTCACGTGAAACGAGTCCATTAGTCACCGGCGGCCAACTTCCTTGCCGCATCGGGTTAGTGCCGGACGGCTGCTCATGAAGCTTAGACTCCCCCGCTGCCTCCATGTGAATTAATTTCTTTCCAAATACTTCAGGCTGATTGCATGTCTACTCATCATGGCTAAAGCCAAAGCAAAGGGCAAGAAGGATCCTGCTGGTGGCGCGCACAGCCACATTCGCGCAAGAATCGACTATCTCTACAATACTGCCACCTTTCTACAATCTATCGGGAAACCCTCTCCGCAGCAGCCATCCGCCAGTCAACAAAATGATCAAATCAACATAGCAGAGGATGCCACCAAATTGCAAGGAACAGAGCGCATAGTACCGCAAATTGTGAAATCCGATCTGGCATTGGAGGAGGAGCCGACCAAGCCAAAAAATACATCGGTGACGGAGCGACTGCCTCAACTCTCTCGAGTCTATATGTCACAAATGCGCGGTGTCTCTCTCAAGTCGCAGCTCCGACTACCCATCGACGTCAAGCGGTCTTTCTGCAAGCGCTGCGATACTTTCCTAATTCCTGGAGTAACCTGCACGCAGGATATCAGAAACGCCAGCCGCGGCCGCAAAAAGCCATGGGCGGATGTTCTAGTTGTCTGTTGTTCTACGTGTGGGACGGAAAAGCGCTTTCCTCAAACGGACAAGCGGAGCAAGAAATTGTTTGAGCGTCGGAAAGAAGTGCCCAAGGAGGAGCACAAAGATGAGGTAATGGCGGGTGCTTGATTACATACTACGAATTTCCGATATCCCACCCTACATCTGCCCTGCATCGTCAGAGTCGCCTACCTCAAGTTGCGGCGGATGCGAAGTAGCCCACCCTTATGGATCGTTCGGTCATGGCTGTTGGCCTATCTGCAGTCTTCGAGATTGAAAAAGATATCTACCGGTATGATCGGGGCGAGGGTGAAGACGCTTCTACACAGAATATCGACTTCCGTGTACTCTGGTGCATGTATGGTACCGCAACTCGGGAGAAGAATGAGCGTTGGGCGTGTCACACGCAGCAGGTTCGATAGTATCTGGCACAGGAGATGAGTTGTCCACCGCAGATTGACAAGCCTTGTAGGCGCAGAAATGCATTGAGAAAGCCAACGAAAGAAGGACAATATATTTACATATAACACTTGCCGCTGAAGCTTCCACATTCGGGTATCCTCTTGGGCATATCAGGCTGTGACTGGTTCAAGGGGTACATGCTTGAGGCTGCCGATGATTAGGTTGTCAACGGGTATTGACAGGGCCATGGTACAGGTTGCTTCCGGCAGCTGACATTCAATAACAGATTTCGAAACGAACACAAACGCAGGTGATATCGTTGCAAATGGATTCCGCTCAGTCAAAACAAAACAGAAAGGATAGATGCTCGTCGGGGAATCGAAACATGATAGAAGAACAGCGGCGTCATCAACTTCGTAGGGTGAACACGTAAATCATGAGATGAGAGGGAGTCGCACTCCAAGTAGACGATAAAATGCAGAGGTACACCAACGCTATCAACACCTTACTACCCTGGCAATTTTCAGGGTGGTTTTGGAAGCCAGAAATAGCCGCGAGGCCGATATTTCGATCTTTAAACAGCAGTCCTCTCCAAATACACAGACGAAGGTAAAAGAGCAAAAAGCAACCCCTTGCCTCTGCGATGAGAATCAGAATTAGCATGAAGAACGTTGGGCAGCACAGTTATAATAACACAAGGTCCGCGAGGACACAACTGGTTTATGAACACATTTTCGTTCGTTGGTCGAGCACATTGTCGCTCGTCCGTCATTTTGCAGAAGGTTTTTATTTTTGCAATAACCGTCATCGACCTCCGAGGTCTTTGTGAAGGGTATACGAGTAACGTGAGGCGTATAAGCAATCGTGGGGTCGTCAACCGATAGAGGAAAGTCGAATGCGGGGAAGCCTCCGGGGCAGAAAGACCATGTAATGGTGTTAGGGTAATCCGAGTAGAGAAGAAAAATTCGAGGGTTGAAGTTCAGGAGTATAAGGTGTGTTGGTTGGAAGTGTTGGGAGTATAGACGGAACATATCGCAAGGGTTGGCATCTCAGTGTCTCCGGCGGGCGGCTTGATCCAGGCGTTGATCGAGACCTTCTATACGGCCACGGTACGCTTTCACGATTTCTCTAATATGCCCGATTTTCGCAAGCTCATTCTCCAAGTCGTCAATTGAGGCTAGAATGGAACGGGTACGGGCAATCTCAGCATCAGCGTTGCGAATGACGTTGCCGGCGCGATCGTAAGTGCTTTGGATAGATATCTGCATTTGCTCTTCCAGCTACTGTGTGTTAGTGTCCGAGTATCAGGCGATCACCAGGAGGGATTATGAAGGGGAACAAGGCTAGCCAGGGCCACTGTAGCAGACAGTATCAAAGGGAAGACAACGTAACAGCAGAGTGGACCCCGACAGTATATAGAAAAAGATAAAGAAGGCGCGGCACCTACATCATCAAGGCGATTGCGAATCTGTTGTTGTAAACCATCCAACTGCTGCGAAAGCGCCCGTAGGCTCATAGGATCCAGGATTAAACGACCGTGGCTGCTGGCGGCGCTGGCGGCGCGCGAACTGGAGTTGCTGGTGCGTCCGGTCCCTCGGCCCCTGGAAACACCATTGGCACCGTGGCCGCCCTGCAGCGCTATCTGTTGTTGTTGCCTCAGAATCTGGATCTCGGAGGAGGTGAGGCCAAGCGAAGTGTCGGGAATCGAGGCTGATACGGACATTTGGTCCCGGCAGAGACATGCTCCTACCGCGACAACAGTCTAGGAAGCGCCGGTCGATCTCGTAGTGGGGAGATTGAACGAACCGAAGTTCATGGTGAGGACCGATATGCGCAGGTGAGAGATCTCGTAAACGAGCGTCTGAGAGGGGAAGTATAAGAAAGCCGAGAGAAAAGGAGGGAAAGAGAAATGTCGTAGGTAAAAACAGGCAAGGATAGACACCACCCGTGGGATGATGGAGGCGGGGGGAAGGGGAAGAGGAAACAGATCAAGACCCGGTCAATGGCGGAGTCTTGTCAGTTCCCCGAAGTGGATGTTAATCCCTTGAGAGAATCAAGGTATCATTGAAAGTTAAAGGAGGGAAGCCAGAGAGGGGACGAGGCTCGATAATTGGATCGTTGGTGACAGAGAAAAAGGAACGAAGAAAGTGGCCCCCGTGAGTCGGTCGGGGGTTACACTGATGGGCGACAATGCTATTGATTCGATCTTCCAGGGGGAAGCCTGGCACGAGCGATTCAAGACGGCCGGGCCAGTGGTCAGCCTCGGAAGTTGGCTGGAAGGTGGAGGAGGATGAGAGGAGGAGGAGGAGCGAGCAAGAAAGTCGCGGGCGAATGCAAGGAAGAGAGGTTGTACTAGTAGGAAAGTGTAGATAGAAAAGATGGAGGTGCGGGAACCCGTTCGGAGGGGAAGGAGAATGACAAGGTTGAACAAGAAGAAGCAACGAGGAAAGTGCTAAGATCAGGACAGTTGGTGAGTAACCAGGCCGTGGGGGCTCTTTTTATGCACCGTATCTCATTCTATAGAGGTTCCTGTTCTCCTCATTGACCCTTGGTACCTGAATCTGGGAGACGAGGTACTTGTGCTGGTGTAGTAGTAACAGCCGGGGTGACCTTCTATACCGACGATATCCTGACCGACACGGGAAAGATTGGCTGATGCGATAATCCTCTTGACTTACAATCGCACTGACAATCAATTCGGGATAGAGTACTACGCCAATCGATTAATCCATTTGGAAGCGAGAGTCAACCACCATCATCCGATTGTTGGACGAACAGCACTGTTGAAAGGGAGCGTGACCCCAAACAGGCAAGGAACTCTCTCTACTTCGCCCGCCCGCAATTTTGACGGCATCGCGTCCTTCTCCAAACGCTCTTCTCCCACTCCCCCGTCCTCCCCTCTCAGGCACCCAATCATCTTGTTACCACCTTCATATATCCTACTCGAATCCTTCAGCCGAGGCGACTCTTAATTTCCAATCATTTTCCCCTCGAGCCCTATTGTGCTCTGCGTCCGTACAGCTGACAAAAGCACCTCACCAACCATCTTGTTCGAATTGCCGCACCAAGCGCTTCTTCAACCGCCATCGACGACGCCGTCATCTACACACCCCATACTTCAGGCCGACTAGGCCTCCTCATTATTCGACAAAAGGAAAGAGTAAGACTCGTTGCGCTGCCCAACCCGTGAGGCTTGAGCCTTGCGCCCTAGGTCGTCGTGACCTTCATATTATTGGTCTTGGGTCAAGGTTCCGCAGCTACAGTCGGCTTCGCGAATCCGCTGCGCCCGTGGTTGGCTTTCCATGCAGCTTGATTAGCTATTAGCCTGTGAGCACTCTTCTTTCTTTCTCCCCATTGCTTAGTGTGCTGCAGGAGCTTCCTGATGGCCATACAGCCTCCGGAGCTCGTCATACCCAAGCCTGCCCCTCTAATCCCCGACAATTCAAAGGCTAGATTACAAAGAACTACATTGATATGTGAGATTGCGTTTGAGTGACTGACATGAAAAATCAATTTATCCAGTACACACATAGTGCCTAACAGTCTGACGGAATAATACCCATCCCCGTGGAGTAATTGACGCCCTATCCATCCACCTCACACCTCAACTCACAACTTCACCCTCCCCCAACCCATCACCCACCATGCCCAAAGACAAAGAACGCAGCTTGAACCCGGCAGCGGCGCAACGCAAACTCGACAAACAAAAAAGCCTCAAAAAAGGCAAAGCGGAAGCGCAAGCCCGACGAAACGAGAAACTAGCACGTCGCAACCCGGAGCGCATCCAACGACAAATCAACGACCTCAAGGCATTCGAAGAATCAGGACAAAAGCTACGACCCCGCGATCAGGAGCTTCTGGAAGCCCTGGAACGTGATCTGCGCGCCGTACAGAAGGCCAGAGAAGCGTTGGGCGATAAGGCACCCAAGTTCGATAGCTTTGAATCTAGACGAGGCGGTCAGCACCGTGGGCGCGGGGATGCTGCAGTCTTGGGCAAACGCAGGCGAGATGGCGGCGACGGCAACCGGTTTAGGCACGATGGTGATGGGAGTAGTAGTAGCGACGAGACAGATGAGGAGGTGAGAAGGATACCCATGCCGAGGGATACGCCTCCGCCTATCCCGCGACAGTATCGGAAGGGAGGGCCAGGAGAGGCTGCAGGTGGTGGTCGGGGCCCGCACGCTCTTCCGGCGAAACCGCCCGTCGTTGAGGCGAAGACTGTGTACGAGGCCAAGCCGGAGATCAGGAATCTCCGACAAGAGGCGATCAATAAGTTCGTTCCTGCAGCCGTCAGGGTTAAACAGGAAGCTATTCGGGGACAAGGCAAGCTCTTGGAACCGGAGGAGATGGATCGGCTGGAGCAAGCAGGGTATAATGCTGGGCCTGCAGAAGGCGAGGAGAAAGTTTCATCAGCTGCACCAGCTGATGATGAGGACGCTCAACGGCGACTCTTGGAAGAGGAGGAGAGGCGGTTTAATCAGGAGCTTCGGTCCGTGCAGATCGAAGAGGTGGAGGATGAGGATGCATAATAATCAATCACATCCTCCACCCGTCATCCCATGATTAGGATCTTACGAGGCGTTGGTCGGGTCTCAAATCAATGTAACTATAACTTGATGCGATACGAAAATAACATCAAAATCTAAAATCATCTGTCCATCGACAGTTGGATTTCCAAACAAGCCATTTTGGTCACGAGTTAATTTCGGACATATGCACCAATTTAAAACATTGGAGTGAGATGACACGATCAAAGCAAAGTCTGCCATTGCAGAATTTAAGGAGAAAACCCAAATCGGTATGTACACAGGAGCCCTTCCCATACCATATGTAGCCCATGAATCACCAAATTAACACCAACCGTGAAACACCATTAGAATGGGTGTAAAGGAAAAGTGAGGTTCAAAAGAGTGTGGCAGAGGATATCCAGGGAAAGGCCGTAGTGAAAGGCTCGAATCATCAAGAGCAGAATCAAAATCCTGTCGAGTCACCAAGGTGTCTTTCAGTGGCAGTATTCCAAACAGGGGATGTCAAATGTAATATCTGTACAAGTGGAGAAGTGAAGTGAAGATCAAACAACAGGGGCATCACGGCATTAGAGAACAAAGGAAAGTGAAGATCTTGGTGAGATAGGATTAACGACGATGCGGCGCAACAAAATGCATCCCACGTCCCATGACTGGCATGGCCAACGTTGGTCTTTGAGATAATCCACCAGCCGTAACTCCGGAATATGTTTCGACTATTAATAGTAGATATGGTGAGGTGAGGAGACGTCCTCAGGGAGATACCCAAAAGCCTACTGCAGCTATTCCCGTGGGTCAACCAGCAAGAAGCCTGCAGTTACTATGTGTATGAGAAATGGTGGCAATATCTGAACATCGCCCAGGTAAATAGGCCGATTGGAATCACCTCAGATTGCGGATAACTTTCCTGCCTCGGGCCAAGAAGGGACTGGGCATCTCGTCCCTCTCGGGGTCCCAAACAGCTGGAGAATCACGCTCTGTCGGCTTCAGCCCAGTGCGGGGATCACTCGCACACCGCTTGATTTCGTCAATGGGACGGCCACCGGCACGCGCCTGTGCCAATTCAACCAAGGTTCGACCGCCCATGTTGCGTTGCATAACGGCCTTGTACATCTCCTCCCCGCCTCCGTTTGCCTTTGAGGCTAGTTGCTTGATGCCTGTCTTGCGCGTGGGTGAGCCAGCATCGGCAGCCAGGTTTGCTGATGACGGGATTTTGGACAAACGTCGGTGAGGCGATCGTGATTTGGCTTCCCTCTGTTGGCTGTCGCCAGATCCACCAGATGACATCTGCGGCAGTCTTGACCCGTTGGTGGGAAAGATGGGAGGCTGAGTGCTCAGCTTCTGCATAAAAGCAGCGGTGTTCTGACGGAGGAGGGGCCTGGGCGGAGCCTTGAAGGGATCAGGCTTGACCTTGGGGCGTGTTGGAGAAGGTAGATCGGGGATGTCATCTTCATCATCAGAGTAAGCCAGGGTGGGCTCCCACTTCGTACGGTTTTTCTCCGCCTCGGCGAAGATGTTCTTGCCGGAATGAGTCCCAGAGGTCCGACGCGGGGACAAAGAGAGTGATGCAATTGAGATCGGGGAAGGCTCTGCCATCTGAACATCCATAGGCGATTCAACCACGGTTTTTGAGCGGTTGAAGGGGGTGCGAGTTTCCTTTCGTTGTACTTTGCTCGCGGCAGGTGATTCCAGAGATAAATTGCTGATATCAGTACTAGAAGGCTGTTCCGTGTCGTTGTTGCTCATAGAAAGCCGCGAGTCGTCGCTAGAATCCTCGCGTACAACGATATTTCGCTTTTGCTTCTCGACCTCGATTGCAACTCGCTCCTGAACTTCGCACTCAAATCTCTTGCGAAGCTTTTCTATCTCGTTCTGCACCTGACGATCAATTTCTAACCTGGCTTTCACTTCCCACTCGCGGCGCACTGTATTTTCAAGCTCAACTTTCATTTGTTGTTTTTCTTTCTCGAGTTTCGCGTAGGCCTGCTCAACGTCCCGAACCTTTTGCAAGGCGCTCTCTTCACGCTTGCGGAGTGTCCTGGACAGATCGGTAACTTCCTTCTCCTTGCGCATCAAACGGATGATCGGCAGATTGATTAGGGCAGCAGTATCGGGACGGTGGTCCGGGTTAACTCGCAGACAGTTTGCGATGACGTTCTTCAGCTCAGGCGAGTAGAAGTCGGGTAGAGGAGCAAATTTTCCTTCCCGAATCCTCTGCACAAGTTGGATATGGGTTCTGGCATTGAAAGGCGGCTCTCGCTGACAGAGCTCGTACATGATGCAGCCGACCGCCCAGATATCGGAGCGCAAGGTATACTTCTCGGCCGCGCATATTTCGGGGGACATGTAGAACGGCGTTCCGACATAAGTAGAGGCGAAATCATGCGAATTCATCAGCTTGGACAGGCCAAAGTCACCCAGTTTGACCGTGTTGTCGCTTCCGAGGAAGATGTTCTCTGGCTTAAGGTCACGGTGAAGGATAGTCATCTGGGCCTGCTTTCCTTTAAGACCCGACGGCTTGGGCGCAGGACCAAGTATGTTTGACCCGACGTCGACGGGATCCGAGCCATAGTGACAACGGTACAGAGCAGTCACTAACTGCGACAGGATGCGCCACACAAATTCCTCTTCTGCGTACTTGTTCGTCTTCTTGAGGTTCTTGATGACCATACTCAGATCGCCACCACCGCAGTACTCCATGTAGAGATACAAGTCCTGGGACGCCTTGAGGTGTTCGCGATGGTAGTAGGCGACAATGTTTGGGTGTCTAAGAGAGCTTAGGATGTTGAACTCGGCCGTGAGCTGCTCTCGCTCTTTCTGGGACATCTTGATGTAATTAATTTCCTTTCGGCATAGGATCTGCATCATTACGTCCATAAGCACGGTGTCATATTGTAACGGGGGCTCGCGATCTTACAAAGCCATCTGTCTTCCGCCGAACTTTGCGAATGATCCCGAAGGAACCGCAACCTAAACATGAACTGGTTAGCCCTGTGTATATCAAAAGGATGCAGATAAGTAGCAAAAGATTGACATACCAATCTTCTCTAACACCTCATACTTATCAGCCTCCGCCAATGCAATTGCCATTGTGGCTATTGGGTGAATCCGGCCACTGATAAGGAGGTAGAGGATGGAGGTAAAGTCGGAAGGAGATGTGAGAGGAGAGAGATGAGGGGTGTCCTATTGCATTTATGGACCGAGGCTTGTGACTGGAACCTGCTGGGTTAGTAGACGACGTGGTGGGAGTGGCACATTCAGTTGAGTTGTAGATTCCAAGAAGTAGACATGCAAGAAGGTAGAAACGCTGGATGTTTGGGTGCAGGGCTGTTGCTAAGCAACGCATCCTGCCAAAGCCCTTTCCTGCATGCAGCAGGCGGTCGGACAGTAGGCGGTAAGCACTGTTGCATCACGGACGCCTGGATCACTGGTGCCATCACTTCACAGGGATGCACTGGCCTCGTCTGCATGGAATATCGGATAATTCTGGCGGATATATTGTTGACCAAGACCCTCACCACAAGATCTAGTGATGATATATCTGCAAGGAGAGTGAATATCCGATGGATGTTTGTCTACCATGTCCTTCCAAGGGAGACTCTCCTTTCGGGTGTGGCAATCGCGGCTCCACGTGATCTCGGCTTATCGATAAGATGATGGCATCGGCGCCGTTCGAGTCCCGCCTTTCGGACTTTCGGCATCTGTCAACGTTCGCCTCCAGGACACTGACGGCACCGCCATAATGACGGAAGAACCGAAGGTCCTCCGGAAGGACCAGCTTGAGGTCAGCTTGCACAATGAGAAAAAGCTGATCAAGGAGGGAGCAATCAAAGACGACAACCCTCTGGACCTTAGCGAGCCGTTTCGCGAGCTATGCAATGCCTGTCGTAAGGGGGATCTCAAAGTTTGTCAAGAGAAGATCACAGAGGGAGTCAATATTAACGCCCGTGATCCCTATGACTACACCCCCTTGATTCTGGTAAGTGGACTCGTTGTGGGAACTACGGGAATAGACCGCCTTGCTGACTGAAGCTGTGCAATAGGCGAGTCTCTGCGGTCATTACGAAGTTGTGCAGCTACTCCTCGAGTCTGGTGCTCTATGCGAGCGTGACACATTCCAGGGCGAGAGGTACGTTGCTATTACAATGGCTTTTCTTCATGGATATCGTGTGAATTACTTACAATTGACTGCCCATAGATGCTTATATAATGCCTTAAACGACCGTATACGGAATCTGTTATTGGAGTATGATTATTCGAAATCGACGGATCCACTTCAGCCTCTGGCCGCGCATATCACCTCTCTCCTTACTCGTGAAACTCCGATAACGTCAGACATTGTTGTCACGGCAGCTGATGAATCCCTACACCTCCACAAGTTTATCCTGGCTGCACGGTCGCCGTACTTTCATCGAAAGTTGGAATCTGCCCCTGGTACGTCAACATGGAAACTTCCAAATACGATTCCACCAGAGGCGTTTGGTACAGCAATCAAATATCTCTATTTTGGAGAAGCTCCTCGCGACTTGAGAAGCGGTCCCGGCACGGGATTCACGGAATCGGAAGTTTTCGCGGGCATCGACAAGATAGCCAAGCATCTAGAGATCAACACCCTCGTGGATAGTATACTTGACAGTGGGGATAGAAGACTTGCCAGACAGAGACGCACCATGGAAGTTGCCAAAGGACGAGACCAACTAGAGGAGTGGTTCCGGGCGAATGTGCTCAAGCATAAAGTGACGGTAGAGACAGCAAAGGCAGACGATATCAAGTGGGACAGGGACAATGCCATTTATGCGGATGTTCTGCTCCGAGCAGATGAACTCCCTGACGACGAGGAGGATATTTTGGAGGAATCTGAGCAGACTAAGGTCGAACACGGGCGCTCCAACGGGTCTGGCAGACGCGTACCGATGTCTACTCTTTTCCCTTGTCATCGGGCAATGCTTCTGCGATCGGAGTTCTTTCAGACCATGTTTGCCTCATCATTCCGGGAAGCCCACATGAAGGATCACCTGAATGTCATCAGCGTGGACTGTTCTCCGGATGTCCTGGAGATTGTACTGACCTTCCTCTATACCGAGCGGGCTGACTTCCCGCTCGATATTGCGGTCGATGTTCTGTTCGCATCGGATATGCTATTTATTGAAAAGCTCAAAACGAAGGCAGCCATTGTCATCAGCACACTGGGTAGTGGCAATATGTCGCAGGCAGAAGCTGCCCGGACACGCGGCACCAAGGAAGAGGATGATCTGGATATCTACGCCATCATCAAGGCTGCGTGGTTGACCCGTGTTCAACGACTCGAAGAATTTGCTGCGCGATACCTCGCGTACCGCTTGGAAGCTCATATCGACTCGCCGGAATTTGCAGAACTTATCCAAGAGTCGGCGTCCCGCATCCAGTCCCGACAGGAGACGGATTCCATCGAACTGTTGGATGATATCCGCTTCTACCTGAGTGAGCGATTCAGGTTGCGCTTCGATGACGCCGGTATCGATGAGATGATGGAGCCCACGCAGCCGGTGGCTGATGGTGCTGGGGTCAACGGAGACGTTGAAAAAGTCACCGAGGGAGTGGAGACGATCCAACTTTCAGAGGAAGGTTCTGGAGATAGAACGAGCGTGACTGTTCCGTCAGTACAGGCCGATGCGAAGGCACAGGAGCAGCCACTCATTCATACATTGGATGGCGAAATCGCGGTCGACGAGTTCGACCAAGATGCGATCAACTATCAGATCCTAATGGAGAAGCTTGATAGGATCCTAGAGAACTTGAACCTGGACGCCTAGAGCCTGGCAGCGAGCCAGACGAGCTGACGATTGATGACTTCTACAGGTGGTATTTATTGGACAGTATATAGTATACAGATATAGAAGGACTGGATACGGTGCATGAATGACATTCGGAAATATACTACATGGCTCGATGAGCAGTGTCCCGGTCTACGGGGATACATAACGCTGAATCAACGTGCATTTTGATCTTTACATTGAATATGAAGCGGTTCTCATGCAAAGCACCAGACTGCCTAAGCTCCAGGCCTACCCCTATCATTGACTTGTTAGTACTTCGACACTGCAAAGCACACCACGCAACCTATTAGTGAACCTCCTACAGGGGTATCTCAAACCCATCTTCTGATACGACCATCCCACCCTCCATCCGTCCGGGCAGTCGTAGTCCACGCAAGATGCATCCTAACGCACCCGACAATCCCAAAATAAAGTTATTTACCATACAACCTAGTATATTTAGTACCCCCTCCGATACCGCCCATGCCTTTCTGACCAGGGCGGAAGGCAGAAATGTCGCAGTAGGCACAGACATCAACACATGGATACATGAACCAGGATGCCAATCCTCCCAGAACACACCACGCCACCGGTCCGTAGTTACCCTCTTGACTAGAATCACGCCCCGAGCCGCAGAGGTCAGTGCTAGAGAGGGCCACCTGTGTACGTACTTTAGGGGGGCGAAAGGGATAGTACAGTAGAATCATGTCATGCAAATGAAACTTCGAGACTAAGCCGGGAGATACTTTGGCGGTTAGGAACTTGGACGAAGCGAGAGAGTCTGTGCTTGACTTTTACCACATATTACTTAATTTACATCCATACAGCCATACATACGTTGATATGATACAAAGATACAGACCAGGAAACATACAGGAGGGGATGGAGTGGACTGGATTAGATTGCGAGAAAAAATAACCATCAATCATTATTGAGAAAGTATGCAGCTACATACTTACTAGGATGCAAGAAGAATTTCCATCTCGACTGACTGCACTGAACGAACCCGAATTCGACCGGGATTGACCTCGTTCTGGACTCATTCGATGAGTAATAGGAGGATGGGAATGCTTCACATTTGCTTCCTTTTGTTCTATTTTTTGTTTTTTCTTTCCCCCAAGTGCAGTGGTTGAAAGTATGTAGACACTCACTCTCCGAGTCCGCCCCATGTTTGGGGTCCGGTCAAGATGCAGGCCAAGGTTAACATATGTATAAGAGGCGATGTTATTCTTGGAATAATGTGATGAGATTGTCTAAACTGCATATTCAGCATGTAGGTAACTGTGTATGTATGTATTCATGTATGTATGTATGTGTGTGTGTAGGTATTGTCATATGGACTTGGATAGTATGGCAGTGGGAGGGAAACAGGTGGTAATAGATACTCCGTACGTGAACTCGACACTTCCACTTTCGCTCCGCTTCACCAACCAACCTACAACCTCACCCACCACAGCCAGTCATGGATAAAATCATGTACAATTACTGTTACACACTCCCGGCAATTTGGCACTTGAATTGCCGGCCGCATGGGGAAACAAGAACAGCAGGATTCTCGGTGAGCAACAGGCTGCATGGCAAAGAGGGAGATCATCGTGATCTCCCGCATCCCACGCAGGTTTGGATGGGTCCTGCGTGGTTTTTTTTCGACTGTGGAGAGAGAAAAAAAAAAAGAGGAATGGGTTGGAAATTGGGCCGGGATGATGGATGACTGGCCCTGCAGGTTGGAAGTGAATCATGAATGGGAGAAAAGGTAAATTGATTGATCATCATCATCAATCAAGCAATCAGCCAACCAACGGAAGGGCTGAATATTAACTCCATAGCAGATGCAATATAGTAGGTCCTGCCATTCCTCGACCCCATCCTCCTAACTCTACTGTCAGACTCAAGAGTGTCATCTAACAGGCTGTTACTCTTAAAGGTCTTAGTGGATGCTCGGGATGATCAGGACATAAAAGACTCCAGAACACACAGACACTAAAGTCCCAACCCGCAGCCGAGCCAGCCAGTCAGCGACATCTGCTGCAGGTGGGAAATCGCCAACGCGAGATGGGATGCTGATCAACCGGACTGATTGGTGATCCGAGCCCTTCTTTTTTCTCCTGGGGCTGTTCTTTGCGACGGTCGGGCATTTCCGTTGCGGATCATCTGGCTGGCTGGCGGTCGGGGGTTTTACGTGCCAATCGGTCGGGCTGCGCAACAACAGGGTTCAGGATTATCGTCCATGTTGGGCGTCAAGCTGCTGAGTGCTGATGCTGGCTGGCTGGCTAGCAAGCAGCCTGGCTGACGCTCGCTTCAAAGTTTGAGGGTCTGCAGGAAGGCCACCTACTGGTGGAGAGGAGAAAGATGGAGGATTGCTCTCCAACTCCAGTGGATCGTGAGATAGATGAATAGTACGAAAGGGATTGCAGTTGCGCCCATTCCAACCCGCGCCTCGATGCGGCCCGGTTTGCCACGACCAAAGGCAGCTTCTTTCCCACCCCCTGCAGTCTACGCAGTACTCACTCATTACTGGATATACTGGTTGACTCCCGTTGATCCTCTCCAATCACACTTCTCGAACTTCCCAATAAGATCGACACCGCCATGGCCTCGATCGGGAGTGCGGGGATACAGCACTGATTGGTGCAATATTCGACGAGCAACGCGCCGTTGAGCGATCTCCAGCATCATCACATCATCGCGTGCGTTTGCTGCGTGGGAAAACTGGAAACAAAGCATTGCAACAAAGACTGCTTGAAACAATGAACTCTACTACACCGTCTCCGTCATCCACGGAGTCGCCGATATTGGATGGGGTCCATTCGGATCCCCAAGTGGAGGCGGGATTCCTCCCCTGAGGGGCTCCAGCTTTTCTCCTCCATTGACATCTCGACTTGCTTCAAGCGACCCTCCACTCGCTGGACACCGTGTACTCCCGTAGGATCACGCCAGCGCTAGTCTCTCTGTATGGTAAATCATGAGGGCATGGTAGGATGCTCGCCAGCAACCCGCCACCACACTTAGCCCATCATTGTTTCCTTCCCCGCCGCCGCCCAACGTGGCCAAACCCGCCTCTCAGGCATCGCCATCGGCTGCCATATCCCTGTCTGCTATCCTGCCAGCTTATCACAGTTTCCCTCTCGACGGATGATCGGTTCTGTGGCATGCTGATCGGCTACGATGTGGAAGCCCTAAGGTCAACCCTGCTCCATTCTTGCATTCCTTCTGGCCAGGGGGGTTTTCCACCGTCTGAGACTGACTGGATTCTATCGTGCCGCCGATGCTAGCCATGGCGCCACTTAGATCCCCTTAGCTGGGAATGCTAGTCAAGGCCCTGGTGACCTCGATTCCGGTTTCTCGGGTCCGTCTAGGATGTGCTATCCTGTGAAAGACTTCCTCTTTGGGGTAGTTAACGCCGCTCTGGGCGCTGTCCTAGTCTACTAAGTGTGTTTCTAGTTGCCACACTGGCGGAAATGACCCCCCAATTCATGGAGCCCTCCTACGCCATCAAGACAAGGTTATCCAAGTCCAACGGCCCCCAAGCCCATCGATCCGATAAGCGAAGGATTTAGCACGAGGGGGGAAAGAGTGGGAAAACGGCGGAGCCGAGCTTCAGGTATCGGGCCCCCGATTGATTGTTATCCCTCTTGGTATACTGCTCCGACACTATGGCACGGTCTGTCCACGAGCAGAGACGCGCGTAAGCAACCAGCCCAGCCCCCTGCCCCTCAGCCCCAGGACATAATATGAATCGTCGAGGAGATTGGCTCGGTGTTGTACGGCGATGGCACCGTTACTCTGTGGGGGTGTTGCCGTGTTGGCTCACCCAGTTACCCATCCTAATACCTCCGACCTCACAGCCACAGCCATCGCTATCTTTTCAGGCCACACGGACCCTGAGCCAATGCAGGAAACCCGGTCGATCAAGGACAGAGCGTGATTTCGTGCAGAAAGCGCCAGTATAGTATACCGAGTATAGCCGCCGTAGTTACTCCGGGATTGAGGATGTACCTGCGGCCTGGACTACAAGGAAGGTAAGTATCTGCGGAGTAAGTCGATACGGGATATGCGCGCAGGCTTCGTCCATCAAATCAGAGGCATTATATCCAGCTGCAGCGTTTCTCATGTCTCAACTTTCGTTCGCTGCAGCGGAGTTGGAAGATCGCCCGGATGCTAAAAATTCATCCAACCGTCTATTCTGCAAGTGCCGGCCCCAGAATAACGAGCGGTCAGACTGAGAGGCTGAAACCCGGTCTGCGTGTCAAGTCACATCTTCCATGCTGCTCTGACTAAATATGAGTCACTACATTGTGTGAATGTGATCGCTACGGGCCTCGCGTACATCAGCCACTCCCTGTGGGTGCATTCTGCAGATGAACTCGAACTCCAAGATTTGAGGCGCCTGCAGGTGAGTGATCTGTCTGCCAGTGAGTGGCAGCGGGCGGATGGATCTTGTCATCTGACATCGATTAGTCTTGTGATGTGTAGATGCATGATATCATGGCGGATCAGTCTCGATGATCAGTCCGACACACATCAGACGCCATTTTTGAGGCGAGCTGTGCTGCTGCTGCTGTAGCTGTACGGAGTAGAGTATAATCCGCAGACACATCGAAAAGCGCCAGATGTTAGTCAGTCACTCTACAGCCAGGAATAACGATCTACACAATACAGAGAGGCATGGACGCCTAGTGCTGACCGAAATGCTGCCCTCAAGCATCATCCTTCCCTCATGCTGCACTAGTTTAGAATCCCGGAACCGCCTCGGTGACATTCCGAGCTGCCCTTATTTCCAGGCAGATAAATTCTTCTCTATTCAACCAGGTAGACCTGCAATGGACAACACCAGAATTTCATGCAAGCTAAACATCTAAATCATCACTTATACCGACTACGTAGATACAGACATAGTTAACAACCATACACAAAAAACCATCAATAATACAGAAGAATCATAACAATACCATACAGACAGCCAGAGACAGCCGACATGAGATGATTGATTCGCTCCACATAATCCCGACACTAAACTGCCGTTAGTGACCTATAACCTCGGGCGTCGGACTTGTTCTGGAGATGTTCTGGGTCCACACTAGTCTGCTCTGGGTATAGGCGACCCGCCTGCCACGCAGCAGATCTGTAGATTTGTTACGTGTATTACGGTTACTGTTTTGGCTGATACTGTTATTTTGGGAATAAGTGGTGAGTGAGTACATTTGATTGAGTAGCAGGGATAACGGATGGAGGGGGTTTTCAGAAGGGTTCCTGGAATATCAGGAGAGAAAGACGGACAGAAGAGAGTTTACTTACTTCGCTAAGTCAGGACTAGTCAGAGGCATTGTGGTTAGAACAACTACTATGTGTAGTGGTTGGTGAGTAGGAAATATATCCATGGAGTAGAGTATACCGAACACATAATAGGGAGTAGTATAGTTTGAGTGTTCGCTAATGGTTCTTGCTTAGTATAGATCATGTTATTGTTCATTAAGAAGTAGTCTGATCGTTCGATTATTGAGTAGATAATAATCATCTATGTGGAAGCAAGGAAGTAATAGACACATTCATCTACACATCTATACTGCTACTTTCTCGGTATACCCTTCATTATTTTTACTTCGAAATATGGACAGTTACTAATAGTATATTTCAGTATATTCCCAATACAAACACCATCACTCAAAACGAATGTAGATCATTCAGCTTGAGATAGACATGAAATTCATATGAGACTGCCGCGGAGAAATATATATCAGCATAATATCCAATAAGATTACCTTTTTGGCAGATTTAAGTTTGATTGACATGTGTTCAGACACTATTACTTAATACCTCTGGACTAATGTAGTCCGTGAGAGGGATGGAGATGAGAGAATTCTGATTCTGGCTCGATGGTTGCATGGGTGGGTTCTGCATGCATGTACGAAGTGTATGTATGTGCTTGCTCGATAGGGGGGTTCTCTGTTAGTTGGAAGTTTGGTTGGTTTAGGATATTGTGTTGGTATGGCTCCGAGTATGTTGGTACTAGTAAGTAAGAAGTGATGGTAGGTTATCTAGTAGTTGAGTGACGGGCTGAGGTGGTACATGATTCGTTTTCATTGTAGTAGTAATAAGTAGACGTGCGTGCATGGATTAGAAATATATAACTATATGTATTTGACGAGAGTATACTATCACTGCTTCAAGATCTACCACTAGCTACTGCTTCAAAGGTACTATTAGTGTCTATTGATTACAGGAATTACTATATAGTTGAAAAGAATTGCCCTAATGTGTGAGAGGTTTATACATGTATTCTAATATACATTTGCCGTGTACATGAGTTGATACTTCAACATTAGGTTTACAGAATGCTATGCACCTGGCTGGCAATTATCTCACTTCACTATTGACTAGTATATAATCCGTACTAGTCAGGTTCCATCCTTGCTTTCAATTCAGACTTACGGTGGCAACTTCTGCCCGGTGAATGTCTATTACATTGTATCAACCCAACCAACGATCCATTGGCGCCGTCGCCTCCATGAACACCCAATCAAACTACGAAGAGAATCCATAGTAGAAGGAATCTGACTGTTTTGCCACAAAGGAAGCGGCGAGTGCCACTGCTCCCAGCAACCTAATCAGGGCTTAGATAGTATATGGGCCGATGGCTAGACGGAAGCCCAGTAGAAGGAATGGGTGAGGTCAGGTGCTCTACAGCCTTGGTGAGGCTTCAAGTAAGAAGTAGGTGCAAGGTGTCTGAGACAAGTGGGAAGAAGTAAGCCAGCCTGCTCGACAAGAATCCTAGACTACAGACCTTCAATAACTACAGGCAAGTTATCCAACAACTGAACCCGGGAGTAAAGAGAGAAAAGACTAGCACAGAATGAACAGACCACTGCACAGCTAACCAGCTATACCACCCACCCCCAGCATAACAACCAAATGGACAATCGAAAGAACCACACACCCCAAATTCTAGAACCCGTCGAACCCATCAACCATGTGCTTCCATCCACCGTTCGCCTTACCACCCAAAGGAACACCACCACCGGATCCCTCATCCCCCCCTTCATTTCCGAACCCTGACTGAACTGACCCATGGCTATCCTTCTTCCCCTTCCACGCTTAGCCGAGAACACCATCTATCTATCTCCAACACACACTATTCATTCCCTTCTACACAGTACACTACACCTCGCATGTCCACCCATAAACAGTATAGCACAAAACTCCACCTCGGACAGACAGATCTACTAACAATCTACCAAGTGGACTGACTTAGTGTCTCATCTCGTCTCATCCATATTACTTTGTAGCATGTATCCCGTTTCCCGTTTTTCCCGGCATGTGGGCTTCCACGTTCCCAGCTGTCCGCGCCCCACTTCGGATATGAAAATGTATCCAGGGAAAGACATCAGTAAAAGTGGGTACAAAATTTGGCCCAGCCCTAGCCATGGCATGAGAGCCGATCCTTCCATCATCACATTAATCAAGGATGAGAGAAAGGCAGAAACAGGGACAGGGACCAGACAGGTTACAAGGAATAGTTTGATTGGGACATGCCGATAGCCGACCGGATCATGATTCTTTACGTAGATTCACATATGTTCATAGTATAGTAGACCTGACTGAGTGGCTAACATGACTGAGGGAATAAGTGGGTATATACATGACTAGCTAGTTAGTCAGAAAGGTGGTTACCTAAACCTGCTCTGGACTGGACTCCACTACACGCACTTTGCCATGCAACGCACACACACACACGCGCGATAGTATCTAAGTGGGGTCCTTTCCCTCGTGTATGTGAGAGAGAGTGTGTGTGCGTCCGAGTTCAATCTCCGGGTTATATCTAGCTAACTAACTAGTCTTGCTACTAAGTGATTAGTTCATGTCTTGGGATGGGATTGTACCGAGGTTCATCGAAGGATCGATCAGCCTCGTGTATATTGCAGTCTTGGATAGTATCTAAATAGTGAGTAAGTAGTAGATGAAGTATACACCACTAACTAACTATCCGAACAATAGAAGAATGACATATGAAAGGAAATTCGGATACGAGCTGCACATCATGCAAGCTGCTTAATATGTAGCTCCCGTGAACTTTGTCCTACGTACCTCTCCATCTACTACCTATCCTATCCATGTAGAAGAGAGAATTGAATCGACCAACTGACCACTACCAAACTGGTCTCCAATAGCAATGTACATGGACCAGGATTAAAGATTCCCCTGTGGTCGCTAAAACATCGGCTAAGCAAACGGCATGACATGAATCGACCCATCCCATCATCTAACTATCCGGCTGGGATAAACTGTAAGTAAATGAGCACACGCCAACAGACTAACCAAGTGGCCTTATATCTAGGCAGATATATTACTTCGGAGCGAACTAACTATCTACGATCTAAGTAGAGGACCCGTTCACATGTCTCTCTCTGTGACTTCACTGTCTCTCTTAGCGTAACTCCCTAGACAATAGTAGTTAGTTAGTAGTAGTTTGTATACGAAGCCACAAATTTGTTTTTGACAGAAGCAAGGAGCATCAAGTGATCTCATCACCATCAGCTGCTGCTGCTACTGCTGTCACTGTGTCAATTGCAATGCAACGTAAAGGAATAAAAATAAATGATCATCAAGAAAGTTTTATGCGAAAGGAAAAGTACCCGAGAGATGAATTATTTACCATACAGACACAATGTGGGAAGGAAAAGGAATGCGGATTGCGCCGCCTGCCGTCTTGGGTAGCCCTCTCTCTCGTCATGAGTCTCTTCCTATTTGTCGCCGTCATTGCAGCAGTGAGTGAGTGAGTGACTGCCATGTGAAAATCACGCGTATCACACACACACATTATTACGCAAGCTACCTACTTAGAAGCTAAAGTGTAAGATATCTCCTGGCAGCGCCTCCCCCCTGTAAGTTGACTAGCTAGCTAGCTAGCAACTTTAACTCAAACACATCATCCCACACCATCCATCATCGTTCCTTTTTTCCCCTTCTTGCTAAGACCAAGAAAAGAAAAGAAAGGTCGGATTAATGGAAAGGTAGTATCTCGGTAAAACCAGGATCAACACTAGCATGGTATTTTACGGTAAGGATATCACGCTAGTAAGATACCAAGCGGCTTGTCAAAAGGCAAGCGTCACGATAGTGCATCGGCTTTGGTGCCAAACTCGGGAAGGGCCGACCGCAGCTGCAGGCGGAGCCGACGTCTGCCACGTGAAATGACCAGGGTCCAGACTCCAGGGAGGCCGCTAGGACCGCCTCTAGTCCCAGTTGGGTTTGGAGTGTCCGACGCCCGCTCCAGCAGTTCTTAGCGAAAAGGAAGGGGGATTTTTTTTTTGTTAATTTACTAGTTAGTTAGGCGGTCGGTCGGTCGGTCGGCATCTTTGTTCAGGGGCCGAATTGAGAGGTCCTTCCATGAAAAGGAGGATGGAAGGGAATGAAAGAGAGGTAAAACAGAGAATATGAGAAAGAAAAAAAAGAGTGGGATGCTAAGCCCAACACGGCCGAACGGGAGGCCTACTCTCGTTTCTAGCTCGCAAAAAAGGTGCTTGCATCACCTGCGCGCGCACACATCGTCAAGTCACGCACAACCAGCGCCAAACTTACATACGCGACTTGAACCACACAGCCTCCAGATAATAATGAAAGAGGCGTCATCACACACACATCATTCTCTCACCAACCCCCTTACCCTGCAGCAAGTAAAGTAGAAAAAGGAAAAAAACCAGCGCTTCATCCCGACTCCCCCAAAGAAAGAAAGGGAAAAAAATCTACCAGATCGGTGTCCGGTATTAAACCCAGTCCTTAACTCCGGGTTTCAGTTAGGACGTGTCCCACTGCCATGAGGCGTGCACGAATTTTGAACCCCTGGCTGCCTGGCTGCCTGGCCTGGGGGGTCGCGCTTGCGACAACACTGTTCGTTCGTTCCCCACGAACCCACGGCTGTGTCCCTAGTTTAGTTCCCTGATGACGATCTGCGCTCGACGCCTTGACTAACCAACGTGGCGTTCGGGGAAGATGCTGGTTCTAGACAAGTTGATACCCCGTCGTTTTGCCGGTTGCTTGAGAGAGAGTAGGCCACCGCAATCCTTTTGCCGGGCCATAGCTCTAAGCTCCAATCACAAGCCTTGCCTAAACCTCTTAGCGATCCCCCGATCGTGACATCTGTCAAGTCTATCAAGTGCCGGAGGGGGGTTTAGGTTCTAGATCTTGCCTTTTCCAGCAAGGGGAAAGCCCTGTATCTTGTCTGTCCCATCCTACAGGATGTAGGGAATATCCTTCATAAGATGTCGGCGCAACAATTACTGTGGATTATGGAATGGAATGTTGTAAGTCAGCTGGAGCCTTGGTCAATCAAGTCGTAGGACTCCGTAGGAGTGGTAGTACGGCGGGGCGCCAGGGTAGGCCCAGTGTGTATGGGCTGATTCTTTCCCAGCGAGCTGGGCAAGCTAATTGCCTCCCTCTCTCTCTGTTCCCTTCTCTCCTGGGGCCAGGCGGGACGAGATGGTCCTGCAGAATGGCGTCCATGCGTCAGATTCTTGGAAGTTGGCACGCACCAAGCAAGCCAGTCTGCAGATGTGCTGGAGATCAACCGTCTTGTGGTCAAGCACAGCCGCCATGTCTTGTGCAACCCCCGACCGGTGGAAAAAGCAGAAATCGATACGAATTACGAAGGGGAAAATAATAAGCAGTTACAAAAAAGCAAAAGAGAAGACAACCTAAGGCCAAGAGGGATGGATGAATGATCCATGTTATTAGTCATGGCTCGTTAGTGGTGGACACAATACGGTCGCAAAAGCAACGAACGCAAGGCATGACGGCGTCACGCCGAGGTTGAGTTGAGCTGAAGCTGAAGCTCAATCTTGCCTGAGGCACACAGAGGATACAGTCAGCAGCGAGTAAGCGACGATCCGCCCACTCGTGGCTGGGAGAGCTGAAACCGGCACAAGGTTTCGCTTCCCTTAGTTTGATCGACCGTCACATCTTTGCCGCCCGCCTATCCTTCGGAACCGAAACTGTGACCTCGACGGGGAACCGCGACAAATGAAACAGACGAGCTGATGGGTTTAGCAAGGGTGGCTTGGAAAGCGGGTGGTGCCGCTTGTCCATGGTTGCTTTGGAAGGGGAAAACAAGATGGGATCGACACGAGAGGCGCAACTTGACTTTTCTGATGCCGTGGTTGTTTGGCACCACGGCGCGTGTGTGTTACGTATGTCTCTGTCGGCAAAGAGACAGAGAGTTAGGTTAACAAATGCCAAACCATCGGTGCAACATTCACACGATATTTTGATGCTACACAAGACATAAAGATAAGCGATCCAAAATAGTAACGCGGACACAGATCTCAAGAACGGCAAAGTCTCCGAGGATTATACCACCCTGAGCCGGGATCATATCAATAGAAGCAGTAATCAGCAGGTAGTAGGGGGGGATAGACTGTAAATAATGCAGTGGGCTCCTCCGACGGCATTTGTTCCGGGTCGGGGGGAGTGGATGCTATTATTAATCTTGTCAGGGGGATATTATTTCGATACCCGCACCTAAGCGACTTGCGGTAGGATTCCCGACGACTATTGAGGCGGTCAAAGCTGGAGCGTTGGAGAGCGTTGGATGATCGGCGTGCGCATCATTGTCAATCTTTATCAAGATTCCAGAGTTTATCTCGGAATCTCCCCGTCGCCTAGAAACTGGAACCGGCACACGTCTTTGCCGAGCTGGCTGGAATGGCTGGAATGGGCCCATGGATTGCACTATTACTCAGACTAGTTATTCCTCTGGTCTATAAGTGATACATAATATTATGCTCGACTCGAGGACACAGAACGGAATGCTCATACTAGTAGTAGAGAATGAAAAGACTCCCTTCGAAGTGAACATAGACTATCATCTACTATCTAGAAGATCATCAAGATCCCCTAATGCACAAACACCTACCTCATTCCCTCACCGTTATACCTAGATACCCAACCTACACACACAACCACGAAGCCAAACCTAAAATTGGGTTGTAATGTCGTGGAAGCCCCCTCGAAAAAGTAAAAAGAAACGAGAATGAGATGCATCCCACGAAGTCAAATTCACACCACACAAAAAGCACATCTGCACTGTAACTCAAGAATGCGACCGCAATTATTTCCCACTTCTCTTCCCCGGTTTACCCCTACCTACCCCTTCTTTTTCCACCCCCTTCGCCTCACAAACATCCAAGAAATTAGAAAGAAACAAGAACATGATCGGTCGGTCGGGTCGGGTCAGTCGGGTCGGGACCCGACAGCCAACAAGTCAGTATTCGTCGAAATATCCCTTTCCGGTCATGATGTGCTCGTTTAAGCTCAGGGCGATTTTCCCGACAAGCGCACCGCTAAGCGAAGGCTATCTAAGTTGCCTTTAGCACAGCCATAACCTTCACGGCGTATCTACCAAAGATATTCATTTGGATCATCATCAATCATCGTATCTGATTGAGGCTGCTGGTGGTGGCTGTCGTATCCCATACTCCGTAATTGTAGCCCCCGTCCCATTATGGAGTCTATGCTTTCGAGCGACGAGCTTGTCAATCAATCCCATTATGTACAAAGTATGAAAAAAAGATAACCCAATACGTATGCACCGCCCACTCTTGATTCATTTCATTTCCAATTACATTTTCATTTCCTCTTTGGGTAGGGTGAAGTGGTGGGTTCGTTCATCGGCTCGCCCGTCCCTCTTCGGTCGGGTTGAGTAAGTGAAGTGGGTGTATGTTGTGTATGCGTGCCGGGTCTCTCGGTCGCTCATCTCATCGGTTCGGTAAGTAAACAGGTAGTAGTATGTTCTGGAACTTAGTGCTTACATCTTACCTACTTGAATAGGTAATATTCCACTTTGCGTATATAGCCATTTTATCCATATATTGCCTGATCTGCCCTGAGGGGAGGGTGAGGGGAGGGGGAGGGGATGAAGATCACCGCGGGACTCTTCCGAGGGGGGATGTGGATGTGGATCTACATCAGTAACCAGCTACAAACGTAGTAACTATTCGGCTGGCTTATGCTGTAGATACTTTGGTGTTTCGATATGTTGTTCCACGTATTGTGGAAGAGGGTTTGCTTGGCGAACTACATTGTAGTTGAACTGCGTTTCTCATCATTATTGGGTTTCAGATACTTTTTTTTACCCTTGTTAGGTGAAACTTAACCTCAGGGCGGGGGAGGGGAGGGGAAGGGAGAAAATGTCTCATGGTTACTTACTGACTTGCTACTTTCTTTTGGTTTCTGGGAAGTCGTAAGCAAGCTTCGAGGAACTGAACTGAACTGAACTGCCGGATGTTTGCCGCGGACGGGATTGGAATGGATGCTATACTAGGCTACTTACTCTTCCCCCCCGCTTTGTGGTGGTGGCGGCTCAGTTTCGCCTCAGAGTTCAGAGTCAAGATGAGACACATAAGACAGATGAGACAGATATAGTTCCGGTGTTCCGAGGATCATTCTTACTATCTACCATGCATCTACTAACTAGTAGTAGACTACGACGGCAAGAAACATACCCATACCATGTAGTAACCAACTATCAAGGGTAGCGAGTAAATAGTAGAGCCTCCCAACCAACCCATCCTCCAGTCAATTCAAGATTGATGAAAATCCCGACCGTCTGGACCGACCTCCTCCGGAGATTAATATCGCAGTTCACTATCCCTATAATATAAGATAATATAATCTAAACTAACACTTACTACGGGAGTGGTAGGCCGTAGGCCTAACTAAGTAGATAGGCTACATGGCTCGCTCACTACGCAAGAGCCGACGCTTAAGTGGAGAGAGACGGACTCGGGGGGCAAAAGCAACCAAACCAATATGATTGGACGGAGGGACCAGCTTCGCTTCCACGAGACAAGAACAACCTGAAGGCAGGCTCGTTTATTAAAGTTTGGGACCGCTGGGGAAACAATCAATCTGCTCGCACATGGAACTGCTGGGACTGGATCACTGACTGGGACCGGGCTTTGATCATTAGTTAATTGTGGGTTTAATTTGGGTTGGTTTTCTTTCTTTTTCTTTTCTGTTCGGGTCGGGGTCCCATATGTAGAGGAGAATACTTACGCGTATGTCAGCGCTTGGGCTTCCATTAATCGTGTTGTCTTAGTAGCTTTATGAGTAAAATAAGTTCTCTGTCCATCCATGGATGAATCAATCTCCGTATGGAGTAGTCAGCCGTTCTGGATGACCTAACTATCTACACACAAAACAACCCAGACGATCATTTAATCTATCTTGCAGCATCCGGGGGAAGGAAATACCAAGTGGATTTGACTAAGGATGATGTAATTCGGCGTCGCCGACAGTTGGCAGTTTGTTTTTTGGGTGTTAGGTCACTTTAGTTGGCAGGTTGGTATAATGGATGGATGATCCGCTAAAGTCGCCAAGGAGGGGGAAGAGGGAAGGGATTGATCGACTGTGCCATTCCATTGTTGCGTTTCCTTTCTTTCGTTTCTCCTTCGCTAGAAAAATAAAAAAGAAACTACACTAAGCCATCTCGGTACTACGGCCGGGAGCATTACCGTTTCGGGCGATGGGGGCGCTCGCGTTGGCATCGCTCAGGTACGCTTCCGGTAATCGGGTGGTGGGCGGTGTGGTCCGCCGCTAAGGGTGATTTGTGCTGATCAGCTTCGCTCGGAAGAATACCAAGAAAGAGGTAAAGTGTAAGGCAAGGCCATTCACTGAGGCTTGAGACAGCGACAGGGATGCGGCCTGTTTAGATGGTGATGATGATGCTGATGATGATGATGCTGATGAATAAATGGCCTCAAAAATAGAGACTTTTATTTTATTTTAGTTTTACTTGGCTATACCTACAGCATAGTACCTTACTGTGGTAGATCTACTCATTCTTCCCTAACGACTACCACGAGCATTCTTGTGAAACCAAATTCGTGACATAAGAACAGCAGCCAGCCAGCCGGAAGCTATTTACCCGACGGGAAGAACGCATAACTGACTGATGACTGATCTCGGTTCACAGAAATAATACCGGGATGATCAACAACTAAAACCACAGTTAGTAAGGTGGAAGTAGGTCCGTCCGTTCCTTCCCCCCTTCGTCTCCATAACCCTTTTCGGGATACGTTTTGTAGCTCTCCCGGCCGAGGTACATCTGTCTCGTGTGTGAGTGTGTGTGTGTGTCCCGCCCTGCTCCGGCTACGAGGCCCTTGAGGACCTCCCGAGAATCAAAAGTATATTTGATTCTGTTCTTGAAATGTCTCGTTTATCCATGCTTATTTTGGACTTGGGACCGCCCGTAGGTAAAGCTTTTTAGCTTAGACGTCGTGATCTGACGGTCGATCCCAATCGAAGAGAAGGAATGCGGACACCTTTGGCAGAGAAATCCAGCCATCTAGTCTTCTATCCACTTCGGCAGTTGATATCGGTGGTTATTAGTCTCATCAGTCAGCCTTCCTTCCTTTGATCATGGTTGGTGGCGGTGATGGTGATGATGACGATTATGATGATGATGATGCGCTGTGCAGTTCCCACTAACTAAACTGATGCGGCCCGAATGTGGACGACAGACAGAGCAAGAAAGAAGCAAAAGTGCATGTACGTAGATATCCGGTTTTGTGACAAAGTCAATTGTCTCAAATGATATTTGCGAAAAGTGGTGGTGACTTAGGCACACACACACACACACACTCACACAAACAACCCCAGTCCTGGTCGACGTCATTGACCAGTCACCGTGAAATGCATGCACCATGCAGCATCCGCAGCATGGTTGATCAATCAGGGGAGGTTTTCCCTGGATCCCTTGAGTTACGCCTGGGCCAGTCAGTTATCGCTTGCATGGACGATGCATTTTTCTCCATAGCCGTCGCCGGCTTCTGTCATTCTCGTTGGATAGTTGTTTTTCTCCGTTCTGCAAAACAAAATGGCTCTAGTGAGTGGTCACTGCCCGACAACACACCCTTACCAGCCCCCAAGAAGCAACAAAAAGAGAAAAAAGAAAGTATCACTAAAATTGAGTAAACCGAGATATGTATCTACATCGTACATAGATACAGCTCCGTAGTCTATACAAACCAACCCTGGGGGCCAGATGATCTTACAACAATAATCAGCCGAAAGGGCTCTTCTCCCCCTTTCATTTGTTGGTTCGGATCGGATCAATCTAGCTGACTTGGGCTTAGTAGTTAGTCAGCGGCATCCTTTTCCTCTTCTTTTCTTTTTCTTTTCAGTAAAGAAAATTGCTTTATTCTTGTTGGCTGTCATTTGCCATGATAATCTCCGGCATTCCTCATCACCGAAAAAAAAAAGAAAGGAAAAAGAAATAAGAAAATAAGAATAAACCATCTTGGCCCCCCGAGCGACCGAAAGGATGATGCTAACCTGAGGATCGTTCAGAGATTCCTTTCTTGGACGACCAGATCTAAGCTCTCTTGGGCGTAGAGCCCCCTTTTGCTTAACAAGCAGGCCAAAAGAGCGAGCTGCCATGCCATCCGCGCATCGTGCCGCGACTCCGTCAGCCCGGCCGGCCCCAAGGGATTGGACCATCCCCGGAGACATTTCCCATCCCAGAAATCAAGCGAGTCATGGCCCTCACGATGGGCGTTTCTCCATTCCCATCTCCGTGGTCTAGGAGAAAAACTAAGGGGGTGTCTGTGTAAGTAGTGTAGTGACGCTATCAATGGAGTCTTTTCCATCAAAGTAACTTTTCTATTATTATGGTAGTGTGCTGGTCTGTGTTGCAGGACCACGCACGCATTGTCTCAGTGCCAAAGGATCTCCGGAGAAATAGATTCGAGTAGTAACAATAATTAATTTAAAGAAAGAACACGATGGATGGAATGGAATCAGGGTCACCTTTCCAGATTGCTTTCCAGAAAGGGATGTTTAATCGACCGCTAGAATACGGAAAGAACGGAGATGGAAACTGAGACCAACCAGGGTTGGGATCTGGGAATAGATTGGATTCCTTCTCTCCTTTTGCTTTCCTTCCCCTCTGTGTGTATGTAAGTGTGTCTGCCTCTTCCCCTCCCCCATCTTCCCCTCAAACCGGTGATCTGAGCCATGCTGGTCCAGGGTTGGACATTTGGGTCACGGACAAGTACCGGGAGGGAACCAGCCAAGTGGGAAGGAGGGAGGGGTACCTTAGGCACCGAGTTTCGCCCACCGAGAGCCCCGAACACACAGGATCTACGGGGAGAAGAAGGAGGGAGGGGGGGTGTATGGAAAGCAGAGGAGAGAGGGGGGAAGGACCCAGAATGGGACAGACAGGACTGGACAACCATGAAAGCTGGTTGGAAGCAAGCTGGAACCACATGAGATCAGGTTCTCAAGCAGCAACAGCAAGCAGCCAGCAGCAACAGCAACAGCCAGCCAGCAGCAGCGTGATCGTGCGGCAACGATCAGCCGTTTATGGGGCATGGGATCGTTGTGACAGGTAAAACCAGGACGGAGCCTTGGGGGTTCCACCCCGAAGAGAAAGATCGGCTGCTGGCGTAAGTGCAAGCCAGATGGTAAAGTAGGTCCAGCCCAGAGTTCGATTCGATTACCACCATGATACCGGACGGAGATTTCCATTTCTTTGCTTAGGGTCGTCGACTAGTAGGGGGGTGGTGTGGATGGTGGTCGGCTCCGTCCCCATGATGAAGGATGATCTCTGATTTGATTCCTGGAGGGCGCGCATGATGGAGAAAGGAAAGGTGTCCGTGGATCTGCACTAGCGCCAGACTTACTGTAGCCGAGCCCCGAAAGTACCGTTGGCTTTGGCTCCATCGGCCGATCTCTGAGTGAGAGAGAGACAGAGAGAGAGAGAGAGAGAGAGTGTGTGTGTGTGTGTGTGTGTGTGGGAGTGAGAGAGTCAGGTCAAGAGAGTCAGAGTCAGTGTCAGTTCCTGTGAGGTTGCTGTGCCCTTCGTACGACGCAGTTACGTACCCCCTTCTCCTCCCGCCGCGTTGCTTCTTTCAGGAGTAGATCTCCGTTGGGATCTCATTGTTCGTAACTTTTGAAGAGTCATGCTCGTGATGCTTGCTACTGCTACTGCTACTGCTACTGCTGCTTAATTGTCTAGAGCAAAGTGGAGGAAGATTTCCTGTCGTCATACTTTCACTACTACAAAATTCTCCTTTGTCTATGTATAGCACTTTGGGATAGAAAGAAGATGATCGACTGTCTCTCATCTCGTCTCTTTTACCCAGTCTCAGCTTGATCTACCATCATCTTACTTCCGTGCTCATCAGCTCCCATGGAAAAACCATCCACTATTCCCAGGGTTAAGGTGGCCTGGGGGGGGAGCGAAGGGTGTGGAATAATGGTGGAGGCGGCGCACGTTGTTTTAGCTCTCGTTGAGCCTACCTAAAAGGTATAGCAAAGCTAATGGCAAATCATCCCGGTTAAGTGTTTTTTCATTTTAATTTTTCTAATTTTCCTTTTCGGATATCCGAAAGCGGTAAATTAGAAGACAGGGAAATCCAAAAAAGAAATTGGAAAAATTAAAAATGAAAATTCCAAAAAGGAAACGTAAATTACCCGCCAAGAGCAAGACATCGCGTGTGGTGCTCCGTACCGGGACCACAGCCCATTAATTAAGCTTTGGGACGGAGGTATCAGCCCTTGTGGAAGCGAATCGAGTAAAATAAATTAAAATAAAATAAAATTACAAGAAATGTGGCCACTGCGGGCTCGGGAATATTCAAGATGCCGCTGGGACTGGAGGGATGAAGAAGAGAAAAGAAAAAAGAAATTAGAAAAATATTCTGAGGGTAAACCAAGCCAGAACGGAGGATATCGTACCTGTTCGGCTGTGTGGCAGGAAGAAGGAAGTTAGTAGGTTCATCCCTCCTACTAGGCGAGATCCTCATCAGACGGGGGGAGGGAAATAAAAAAAGTGTAATTATTTGGGAACCAGCGATTTGCGTCGGATTCGCCCGCTCTCTTTCCCTCCTGTGAGTCTGTATTTTGGCTGTCTTGGGTCTTGTCTTGTCTGGCTGCCTCTTTTATTTTTTCCCTCGTCTCTCTTTTTTTTTCTCTCTTCGGGCTCCCCACCCGTCGGTTGAACCACTACGGCCGGAGTATACTCCCCAGCGGGCAGCTATAATTAAACTGCCTGTCGATTGATCCTCCCTGATTTTTATTTTATTTTATTTTATTTTATTATTTTATTTTCTGGATTATTTTACAATATATTTTATTCTATATTTTATTATTTTTCCTGTCAACCCTTGCTCCCCACTTTTCGCATATCTCCACTATTCCACACCCTCAATCAT